CCAGCTTTGTAGAAACGTAGGAGCTTTTGCACAGGAAGCCGTGGCCTCTGCTGGTGCCCCAGACCCTTGCTGTGAGCCTTCACAGCACTGGCTGATGGGGTGGGCTTGCTGATTTACAGCTTCCTCTTCTACCACAGAGGGAAGGTGGGCCTTTTGTCCTTCAGCGACTCTGCACCTTGCCCTGGAGCCTTTGCCCTGGTGGCAGCTTGAGGCAGTGGGGCACTGCCCTGGGGTCTGCACCAGCCCAGCCCTGCACCCCCAGCTGCGTACTGGGACTCTGGAGATAAGCAGAGTCGTAGCTCACCCCTTTCCCTCTCCTGCCTTCTGCCCCACAGCGTCTCTGAAGCTATAAAAATGTGGTCTCAACTCTCCCGACATTCTGATCTGCAGGCCGCCTAAGCCAAAACGCTTCCCAGCCAGGAATTTAGTGACCAAAGCCACTCCCCCTCCTGCAGAAAACAGATAGGAAATGACTCTTTTCTTGCTTGGTGCCCCAAAGCCATACCCTGTGTGATACCTCACTGAACAGTCTTAAGCATGAAATCTGGGAGCCCTGTCCTCGTCGATGGGCCTGGGTGGAGCCTGCGAACTTGGCTCAGACAGCCTGGGCCTCTTGCACCAGGCTGACATGCCCATTGGCACTGTCTGCTCTGCCCAAAGAGGACCAAGCCAGTGTGCTAATGGTCTCCTCCTGCCAACAAGTGGCTCCTGGGACTGCACCATCAACCGCCAAGCTGGTTAAGTGCTGCTTCTGCCCGGAGTGTGGGTGACCCTTAGGTGGAGCGCAGGAACTCATCCTAACTATCACTCCAGAAGCTGGGGATGCTGGTGCTCTGTGGGCCACATTTTGAGAAACTGAGTCGTTACATTGACATTGCACGAGTACTTTCATGTGTTAGCTGTGTGTGTTTTTCCTGGGCAGAATGAAATTTTAGGAGATTTTAGACCCTTCTCTCTAGGCTTTTGTGCATGTTTTTATAATGAGCCTGTAATCCATTGTAACCAGGTGAAGCCACCTAGCCTTTCCCCCCTGTGCAGGGAGGAGCAGGACAGCGTAAAGGAAATACCGTATAGGAAACTGGATCTAGGAAAAGAGGGCACAAGTGCGAATGAATCCACTTTATCTGCCAGAGGCAGTGCCCTTCTCTCTGAGGCTCCAACTCCTGAGCTGGTCACTGGACACCTGGAAAAGGGTGGAATGTCCCTCCTCCTGTTTTCAGATGATCTGTTCCTGGTGAAGCCAGAGCTAGAGAGTCACACCTGGGAATTTGGGCAGTGGCGTTGGGCCCCAAGGCTGGGCCTGCCCGCTCTCCAGCAGCCCGGCCAGCCAGGCAGAGCAGGGATGGCGACTTTACAGCACTGTTATTACTCTGTTGTTGCCCAGTAAACCCACACCGGGCCCCCCAAACCCTCGGTGAGAAAGCCAGGCCTTTCCCGAGAAATGGTTTCCTACACCTTTACAACGTGCTAGGAAAAAAGGGGCCGTTGGATTTATGGAAACTATATAAAGTTTATGGAGTCTTGGCAAGCCAGAGTAGAAGTGTCTGGAGGACGGGGGCGGGTAGTTTGAAACAGAGAAGGCCATGTGAGAGCCACAGGCCTGGGTGTCGAGACACCAGACAAAATCCCCAAGTCCGTGGCGCTGGGACGCTGGGGCGGGGGACTGGGAGAGCGCCTGGGGTGGGGGGAGGCTGCGAGGCTTTCTGGAGTGATCTCATGCAGTCTCCATAGCTTCCTGAGAGGCAGGCAGGGCTGTCCTTGTTCTGGAGAGGGAGAGGGAGAGGGAGGCAAAGGCATTTTGAAAGTCGTGAACTTGCCCAAGGTCGCTCTGTGTGAGCCTTGGGTTCTCGCCGTCTCTCTCCTGTGTATTGAGCCATGCGTCCCAGTTTCAGGTCCTGAAAATATGGTCTCCACACCCTATTTCAGCTTGAGACTCATCTGCTATTTATGATTCAGCTCCCATCCTCCGATGTCCTTTAGTCATCACCTGCCCCTCCTGGAGATCAGCATGGCTGTCAGAGTTGATCCATGCTCAGGTTTACCCACTGGTCTTGGCCAGAATAGAAGTGAAGCCACCAGAGGTGTCCTGAATCAGGGCAGGGTTTGCACACACCATCTCTGCCAGCCCCTCTGGGTCTCAGTTCTCCCGTGGAATCCTCTTAGGGCCCTGGGGGAGGACCCATGCGGTGTGAAGTCACCTCTTCCCATCCCCGTCACCCTCCACTTTTCTAATTCATTTCTCCCTGCAAAATGTGCCTTGTGACATCGATGTTTTCTCTCCTGCTTGACTGTGAATTCTTGGAGTGCAGATTCCATGGATGCTTAATTCTTCACTGTTGATTTTGCCCACGGAGCCTGGCATGGTTCCCAGCATGGAGTAGTCACTGCATAAATATCAGCTGGGAGAGAGGGTGGATGGAGAGATGGAGAGATAGGCAGGTGGGGAGTGGATGGATGGCTGCATGGATGGACGGACGGACCTCTGAGTGGATGGAGAGGGCATGTGTAGACCAGCAGACACCCACCGCCTCATTTACACCCTCGAGTGCAGTTAAAGTAGCAGCCTGACCTGGTTCTCACCAACTTCTACTAAATGCACCTCTGTTTCAGGGGTATACTTTGCTCTTTCTGAGCCCAGATGGAGAAACCAGTCTGCATGCTTGAATGTGTGTGTAAATACTTTACAGTCCCCATAAACTTGTTTAAAGACAGGTGGGGGGGGAGTATAAACTGGGGCAGCCTTTTGGGAGGGCAATTTGGAAGTAGCTATTAAATTTTTAAATGTGCCTACCACTAAGACCCCACAGTTCCACTTTTAGTTGTCGAGAGTAAGAAATGACATTTATACACAAAGGACCATGTACCAGGATGCTTATAGGAGGAAGCTCTTCGCTGTTGTGCTTGTGACAGTGAAAACTTAGAAGTAGCCCCATGTCCATCAAGTGGGGGACGGTAACTAAGATGCAGCACACCCTGACAGGCAAACACTGTGGCCATCAAAGAGAACGAGGCAGATCTGTATGTGCAGACTTGGAAAGATCTTGAATGAGGCTTGGGACCAGATACAGTCCAAGCTTCCAGCAGTCTCTGAGATTCTGTGACTCATCAGTCTCAGCAAACCGCGCCCCCTCTTCCCATTTCTGCCAGCTTCTTTCCTTCCTCCCCCCAGTCCCAGCCCTGAAGCCCGGCTTGCTGGAATTAGATCTTTCCTTCTCATGCCTAGAGCCAGCGACCTTCACTTCAGAAAAGGAGGAAAACGAGAGAAAAACAGTTATGTGCATAATTACTGTCTACTGGCTCTTCAATTAAGAAGATTGAAAGGCACAATATTAAAATTTGATTTATGGGCGTCGCTATCTACCTCATTATGAGGCCAAGAGGAAAAAGGCGCCGTAGTCGTTACAGAAAGCCGTGGCCTGTTTTCTCCTCCAGGAGATAAGTTGGCTCTCGTGCTCTTATTGCCAGAGAAGTGTGAGATGGTGTTAGGCATCTGTGATTTGTTCTTCCAATATGTTGAAATCCAGAGCTTAGTAATTGAGGCATCGTCTGGGCACTTCAGGGACACTTCCTGAGAGAGGTGGCAGCTTGGTGCTGAGAGGCAGCCACTGCAGGCCACTGCGCCAGGACCCTCCCTGGTAACACAAGCCGGGTCCCCAAGGGCCCTGAGATGGCCACAGCCATATAGCTGGGGCGGGAGCAGGAGCTCAGCACCCAGCGCCCCAGCTTGGCCGCCTACTATTTGCCCCTCAGTTTCCTCATCTGTAAAATAGAGAGGATGACCCTACTCATGGCGTGATCTTGGCCAAGCATGGCTTCTCCCTGTGCCCCGGGTGTCCCATCTGAAGGTCGTCCTGGTGCCTGCCTTGGGTCCCTAGTGAGGATTAACAATTTGATGCCTGTTCAGGGCCCGGCTCGGCGTCTGCCTCGCAGCACGGGCTCATTGCCTTGTGCTCATTGGCTCTTTTTCAAATCACTGTGGTTTCTGTCAGACTCCTTTGCTGTCATTGGCTCCGTTGGCAGGGCACCGGCTGTTTGGCCGACAGTCCTGAGAGCGACCCTGGCCTCTCTCCCACTGATGCCCTGGGCAAACTCTGGGCCCCTTTGAGCCCATTTGTTCATCTGTAGAACAGCAGTTTCCACTTGGCACAGGGGTTGTAAGGTTCAGATTCGTGTAAACAAACCGCTTGGAAGGATAGTGGTGGCAGTGGCCCTTCATGGTGAGAACTTTGCCAAGAAGCCCAGCTGGGCAGCATCCTTCCCGAGACAAAGGCACCCAGTCCTGGTTCGTGTCCTCTGTCGTGCAGAAGCAGGTGGCTGCAGCATTCTCCCTTCCTGGGTCTAAAAACAGTAGCTACCAAAAATGAGTGGCCATTATAGCAGGGACTGGGCTGCACATGGTATTGCAGGAGCCCAAGTGTCCTCACGGCACCCAGGGGGTGGGCTGCTTATCCTCAGTGTGCAGACTGGGCACAGGGGTGGGTGGCTGGCCCCATCACACAAAGCCTGGAGATGACAATGCTAAGCCTGGCCCACAGCTGTAAAATTCCCCTCAGCACTCTCTGGCACATTCCAGGCCTCGTCCTAATTCCTAATCATCGACCCCACCCCAGCCCACCTCCCCTGTAGGTACTCAGGCCTGTGTCTGCACCAGGCGACCCTGCAGCAGCACCACTGCGGGGGGCTTCGCTTGTATTTTCCCACCAGCGCTTCTGATCCTGCAGAGTCAAAGGTCCAGGTGCTCACGGCCCGTCGCGTAGAACATTTTGTCCTGTGTCTGAATTCGTGGGTTGCACATTTGCTCAGGGCTGGGGCTGGGGAAATGGGCTCAGGGTGCCACATAAGCCCTTGCCGACCCCCTTCTGGAAGTCTCTGTTCTGACCTGGGACACTCTTTCTGCAGACTGCATGGAATGTCCCCTGGGAAGGGGGAGGGCAGGATTCTGCAGGCCTCCCTGCCATTTGTCCCCTGCTCTCCCACTAATGGCAATTCTTTGTTTTCAGTTGAGAGGGAAAATGTGCAGAAGAGGACTTTTACTCGGTGGATAAATCTACATCTGGAAAAGGTGAGTGGGCACCGGGGGATTGTTAAGCCATAGATTCATCCATACCTGAGTTTAAGAAGAGCGACCGGCCCGGAGGAGACGACGGCTGTTCCCTGAAGTCGTTCAGTTTAAACATTCCCGAGGGCTTGGAGGGCTTCGTACTGCTGGTCCCACACTTGGTGTCAGGAGCACAGAGATAAGACACAGTTTGTCTTCCTGGGATCATCAGTGTAGCTGGGCTGGGAGGTTGGATCCACGAAGCAAATGGCAGGAGGCATTTGATATTGAAAACCCCGCACAATCCCACAGCCAAAAAGGCCTCACCCGTGCCTCAGACACTGAGGAGCATCCTGGCATCCACCGTGGGACACGTTAAGAGCCATCTGCAGGCATTGGGCTGCTTTGTGCAAGAGCCCTGCATGTGTCTTTCGTCAAAGCCAGACTAGTGACATGACATTCCCGTTGATGAGAGACATTGCCTGCCCCTATGATGTGCTTCACCCACACCAATCATGCTTAGTACAAGGCACCAGCAGGAGCTTCGTTAGTCCTCACAACAGCCTGGATTCCCTCTGTCCAGTTAGAAGGGGGAAACGGAGGCACCCAGACCTGGTGTCGCACGGCTTCTGCTGGGTATTGGGCTCAGTGGCCCTCCCTACCTCTCTTCCTTACGTCCTTTGGCCCTTCCCTTTTGAGTTGCATTTTTTCTGTGGGCTGCACCTGTACACACCAGACCAAAGCCAGCCCCAGATCAAAGGAGGGACTGCAGACCAGAGGGGGGGAGGGGAGACACTCATTTTTGGATGCGAGGCTCAGGGGGGCCAGCAGAGGCCCAAACCCTCCTTAAGGTGTCCTGCGCGGGCTGGAGCTGCAGGATGGGGCGTTGTTTTTCTCAGACAGCTGAGTTTATCAGGATTCATGATGCCGACTTCCCCTCTTCCAACTTCCTCTCTCTGGTGCTGAAGACCAGCCAGGGTCTCATTTCTGTTGGAAGCTGGTGACACTCCACTTTATGGGACCCAGTGTGTCTCCTTTCTCCTCTCTCCTTTTAAATGTGCTAGAGCAACGGCTCTCTGCGCTTAGCGGCGGAGGTCATCGAAAACAGAGAAAGCCCGTGTGGATCTTGGGAGTCGGAACTCTTGACTAAAATTCCGATTCATACAGTTCGCCTTTAGGCTAGAGTATCTCCCGAGCAGGCACATGACCACCTGACTTCTGCTCCCTGCTGCATACGGGCGACACAGGGCTGTGACCTAGCCCACGATCACCCTGAGCTCTGTGCAGAAAACGCTTCCTTACCATGCAGGAAGCATTAGGAATCATTTGCCACTGGCCTGGATTCTTGGTGCACCTTCAGTGCTGCTTCTGCAGTGAGGTGCCTGACGTGCGCCAAGGTGGCTGAGACTCCTGCTGCGGGACCAAGGAGAGCCAGGGAGGATTTCTGTCATTCTTTCTTTATAAAATTATTGGTAAATAAATACATACAGAAAAGGACAGAGCGTCGTCCAGGGCTGGCGACACCTCCTGCACTCCCTCGCCACCAGGAGTGAACCTGTGTCAGCAGCTATCATTCCAAGGATTCTCTCCTCTGCCAACTTCCTGCCCCTTTCTCGGGGCAGGTGGGTAGCAGCTGCCCTGTAGATAAATCCGATAGCACCTGAACCTGAAGCATAATAAACAGGGGCAAATTAACAGCCATGTTCCAACCCTGAGACTTTCAAGAGCGGCCTCTCATGGGCGGGAACCAGGAACTCCTTGGTGAATTGGGCTTAACTGCAATTTGAAGGCTGTCAGGAATATTTACTGAAGTCTCTGGCTTCTGGAAAAATTCCCTAATTTACCGAAGGAGTTAGATCATGCAGAAAGCCCTGGGGGTGCAGTGGACTCGGCCATACCGATCTCCTGAAGCGCGGGAACGTTCAGGCTGGGACTGTTTTCCCTGGAGCGGTTTCAACGCCTCCCCCTGCCACCCTGCAGGATGGACCCCAGCCAAGGCCCTGTTTGATGTCGTGGCGGAGGCACTTACAGGAACTGCCAGTGGAAATTATTCTTTAGATTGAACTCCAGAGTCAGTCCCGGCCCCGGTCAGGGCCGGTAACTGGAAATTTTGTTAGTCCATTCATCAGAGGGGTTTGGTTCGGGTGTCTCCTTTCTGCCTCGAGTTAGCAGGAATCACATTTCCGTAAGAGCCACAGTCACCCGAGGCTGTCGTATTTGGTGTGGAATGTGCCCAAGGAGCTGGGGGAGTTTGCAAAGAAAATAGTTTGCCTTTTGGTTCAAAGTTGCTGTTGCCCTCGAAGCAGAACCTTTTTCTGTGCACCTGTGGGTGGAATCGCCCTGTGTTTTGACTAACTGGGGGCACAGGGACTCGTATAAAAGGTAAAGAAACGCTGCTTTCCCCTAATAAAAAATAAAGCACAGTCCTTCCAAGGCTTGATGGAAAGAAAGAGGGCTTTCCCAGAGGAGAAGGGTGACTGGCCACAGTTCCACTGTGCCGCTAAGGTTTTTCCCACCTGGGGTCTCTGGCTGGCTAGGGCTGCCACGGCCCAGGGTCACTGCATCCCATTACTCATGCCTCCTGTGTAAAAGCTCAGCCTGCCCTTTGTCCCCAGGAGCAAAGAGAGCACCCAGGCTAACCACTCTCAACTGGCCAAAACCCCAGTCCCAAAAGGAATTCTCCTGGAGCCCCTGAAGAATGCAGGTTTTCTGACCCTGCTCCATGACATTAAGTCCCCACCATGGGGTAGATCTCTTAAAAATCAAAGGGAGCTCAGAAGAGGAAAGTGAACAGAGTGGTAGACACCAAGGGAGGGGGAAGTGCTGGGGAGGGATATTGGCCAAATTACATTGTTATATCATGTGCATGTTCTAATATGTAACAACTACAATGCACCAAGAAAAAAAATGTGTATATGGGGGGTAGTCCCCACCATGCCACATCAGAGGGGTTATTATTAAGTTCATTTAGTTGACAGACCCTCAGGTGGGTGCACATCTGGAGACAGGAGCGTCTGAAGGTTGGGGGACCCTGCCAATACCCAGCCTGAGGCTAGAGTGCAGCTAACCTCAGGCACCATCACAGTGCAGATCAGGGGTACGCTTGGGTCCCACTGTCATGGCTTGATGCAGGGAGCAGAATTTTACCAAAGGGATGTTTAACCAAACGCTGAATCTCTCACCCATCCTCTTTGAGCCTTGGTTTCCCCAAATCCAAAGGCTATCAGGACGTGCCATTTCTTTCTAACTGTAACTAGAAACATGGATGTGATCAACTCTTGGGGTCTGAGATCTCCGGCTTGGAGGATCCCCAAGGTCACTTGCTGAATTAGTCTCCTGTTGCTGAATCTCTTGCACAGCTCACCTGCCAGGTGGCTGTGCGAGTGCTGCCCAGGAGTCACCTCCAGGGGACGGGCCTCTTACTCCCTTGGATGGGCTTTCTGCCTAGAGACAGACCTGGATGTCTGGAAGTCTTCTCTCGAACTGAAACCTGCATCTCTGACATAGTTTTGTGGATTACGCAGGGCACTAATCAGCTGCTTTCTTTCCCCATGCTCCACAGTGTGACCCACCTCTAGAAGTTACAGACCTATTCGTTGATATACAAGATGGCAAAATCCTAATGGCTTTGTTAGAAGTCCTGTCTGGGCGAAACCTGGTACGTATGTTACAGAAGGATCCGGAGGAAATAAGACGCACAGGGAAGCAGTGCCGAAGGGTTCTGTCCAGTAGACAGGTGCTGGCCCTCGGTGGCTCTGACAAGCCCTGTGAGGAGGAAGGTTTATTTGGCTCGTGGTTTCAGGCCAAGGTCATTTGGCCCCGTTGCTTTGGGACTGAGATGAGGCAGAACTTCAGGGTGGGAGCACATGGCAGTGCAGACGCTCACCTAGGGCCACCAGGAGGCAGAGAGAGACAGAGAGAGAGGAAGAGGCTGAGGTCCCAGTGACCACACTTTTGCCCACTAGGCTCTGCCTGTAAAAGGTTCCAGCACCTTCCGGGAGCCTCACAGGCTTGCAACCAGGCCTTTAGCCTTTGGGGGGCATTTAAGCTCCAGAGCATGACCACAGGGGCAGATGGAGTGCACACGCGCCAGGAGGTGCGTAAGTCCTACAGTCAGACACACAGAAGGGCGACTCTCCTTATCAGTGAGTAAGTGGGATGTACCTGTAGCTAAGCCGTATCTTTTTTAAAAAGCCAATATATCTTAGTGAGTAAATAACTAAATGCCCAGTGTTTACCACACACCTGTGATGGCTAAAAATTGGAACTAGAAATTAAAGTGCAGCTAGCCAGTTATTAACCAGAATAACAGCTAAGAATCATAAAAATTGAAGGATGTTTACCAACCAAATTCTGTGATCTAACCTGAGGCTAGCGCTAGAACTGCTGGCTTCTAGAACATTCTTTTAAATAGCACTGACCTTGAAGGATGTCCACTGATGTGGGCATTCGTTCCTCTCCGTGGTCCGAGTGTCTGCTTCTCACAGAGTGGTTCTTTTTCTCCTCCGCCTGGAGTGGGTCTCTGGGCCTTGGCTCTGCTGCCATTTAGGCAGATAGTGCTTGTTGTGCAGTGTGTCCTGTGTACCTCAGGATGTTGAGTGACCGCTAAGTGCCACTAGGACCCTTTGGTACAGTGACCAAAAACATCCAGATATTGCCACATGTTCCCTGAGGGGGGATCTAGTCCAAAGCCCCAGTCGTGTGGAGGCTGAAAATGTTGCTCTAGACTCCAGTGTTTGAATTGGCCTTGGTGACTCGTCCTGCCTACAGGACGCGTAGTCCAGCCAGCAAGGACTTTTGCCGTCTGCTTATGGCTGTGTTCTCAGGTCAAGCATGGCTGGGCCCTCACCGACCTCTCCCACCTTTGCCTTCCCAATAGCAGAGGAGGAGATGCACGTCGCTCAGAGGGGACCGTGTGGGGACAGGCAAGGAATTCTAGTGAAGGGCGAACCCATTGCTGCAGAAATAGCATTTGGCTTTTTAGCAGGTCTCCAGGGAGCCAGCGGCACGGGCCCCAGAAGGCTGCGTGAGAAACTGTGCTCTGGCCCCTTGTTCTGCACTCCCAGTGACACAGGCTCCCCACTCGGGTATCAGAGCATGGGCAGCAGCCTCCGTGGTGGCCTTGGTGGGGTCTCCGTCCTCGTCCTCAGGAGCCAAGAGCAGGCCTCGGCCTCCCCATTAGCATGGCCTTGAAGTGGCACATGCTTCCCAGGAAGCACAGGAACCTCCAAAGGGGGCTGTACCCTGGGGGTGTTGTCAGAATCTTAGCTTCTGCAGGCCTCTCTCTCTCTCTCCACCTGAGATAAGGGCCCACAAAGCTCTTGGCCCAAACCAGAAACATCTGCTGCCACCAGGGAGGGCTCGGGCTGGATGATTTAGCAGCTGCGTGGTAATGCAGGACAGCTCATTGTCCCCACTAGAGTGTCCCTGCAGCAAAGAGAGCATGTTTTTGCCGGTCTCTGGAGGAGAGGGGATTCCAACAAGCCAGGAGCTGGCTTGAAGAGAGAAATTGGACAGATTTGTCCCTTGGAGACTTACTTGGGTCCCTCACATTCGCCACCTCCAGTGAGTTAAGTCCCAGGTTCCTCACAAGGCTGACTGTTGAGGGTCCCTGACATTCCATTTGCACACCCCAAGATGCACGTATGTGTGGGTTTGGATGCAGTCCAGGTGCAGTCCTAACTTGCTCCAGAAATTCATGTGAAAAGGGTAAAGAAGAAGAGAAGCGTGCCACCCCATCCCCTGCCACCCTGGGGCCTCCCGAGGTGCCTGGGTGGGTTAACTGGTTCCTCTCCTTCTGTTTTACAGCTGCATGAATACAAATCTTCATCACATCGTATTTTTCGGCTGAACAACATAGCGAAAGCTCTTAAGTTTTTGGAAGATAGCAATGTAAGTGTTTGGAGCTCCTCTTGTGAATGGGAGCTTGTCCTGTGACCGGAAGGACTCGCGGGAAGTCCAGTGCTGGTCACGAAATGTGAACAGGGCATCCAGCTAGCATGGCCAAAGTAAACTGAGCTCCAGTGAATGGCAATCAGATCATCCATCCACGGGGGACGCTGCCTGACCCCGCCCACCCCATCCTGTGTCCACCAGCTTTGGAACTCGATGCTCAGCCAGCCTGGGAGAGGGCGGAGCTGCTGACTGGCTCTCAGATCTTTGGAATTTAGTTGACCTTTGCATTTCTAAGAGTGCAGCAGACGTACCAGAGGGTAAAACTTTCTCTTGGAACTTAGAATATGACAAAAACAAAGGAGGAGAGGGGGCGAAAGGTGCAGGGGGGACATCTTAGCATCCCCTCCTCTTTGATAGGACTTTCGAGGCTGAGTCCATCTTTTCTATGTTTGGATCCCTTGCAGATGAGTTAGGGTGGCCCAAGAGGGTTGAAATTCCAAAGCTCTAGTTTCATTAGATTTCAGCAATTAATCTAAGCTTAAAAAAAAAAAAGAAAAAAAAAGTCTTCAGCTAAAACTTTATCCTGACGTCTGGTTCATCTGGGTCCTCGGGTAAGTCACAGAGGCTGATGGTGGCTGATTTCAGCAGCAGGGAATTTGTTGAAAGGATGCCAAGTAGCTCATGGAATGAACGGAAAGCCTGGAGAACGGGGCATGGTGCCCAGGGATGCCAGGTGCCAGGATCACTGCAGAGCCACCTGGAGGATGGGTGAGGGCTGACCCCACTTTCCTGCCCCTCTGCCTCTAGGTGGCCCCCTACAGCCTGGGAGAAGGAGTGCTCAGGATGTGATTCCATTCATGTGACATGCCCAGCACAGGGAAACTTCTAGAGATAAAAGTGCAGTAAGGGCTGGGGGAGGCAGAGGAACAAGGTGAAGAGAGGGTATGGAGCTTCTTTTAGAGGCAGCGAAGATGTTTTAAAATTGGTGGTGGCGGAGCTTCCCCACGCCTGTGCCTACACTAAACACCGCTAAATCCAGTGCTTTAGGGGGGTGCATGGAACAGACATGGCTTCTCTCTCAATGAAGCTGTTTAAAAAGCAGGCATCGCCTACATCTATTGAAAGGCTTCCTGCCTGCAGAGCTAGTCACACCCTGAGCCTGAACGTGAACGTGGACCAGCCCCAGCCTGGAGCCCGTGGTCACTCACTCACTTCCAGGAACCATGGGGAGATTACTTACCTCTCTAAGTAGGTGACAGAAGCAAAGCCTACTGGGCCCAGAATAGGGCTCACTGGGGAGCTCTTGCCACTCCCCGCTCTTGATGGGCTTTGCTCACTGCGACACCCACCTCTGTGTCGGGGTCAGCCTTATCTTTGTCGCAGTGCCTACCCTGCATTCCACAGGGACGTTGTACTTGGGACAGTGTGAGGCCTTGGAGCAACTGTCCAAGGTACTCGTTGCTCTTCCTTCCGCCTTAGTTGACCTTGAAATGCACTTCTCCTGTGCTGACTACCCAGATGGATGAGTCCCTGTGACGTGGAGAACCCTCTTCCTGTGCATATCCTCACCCCCGGGGTAGGCAGTAGGCTTGCTTCCGAGAGGCCCCTGGGACCATTTACCATGTGTAGCCCGTGGCCTGGGGCTGCACCCCATGTTGGAAACACAGCAATATTAGAAGTCCTGAGCCTTCAGGACACTTGGGGTCAGGAAGAAGAGGCCTCACTTGGCAGAGAAGCTGTGATCCTGCAGAGTCCAGGACGCAGGGCTGAGCCCGGGATGGGAAAGCACACGGCCGAGGCTCAGGAAGGCCCAGCCTTCATAGTCCATGTGTAAATCTTTCCCAAACTGTCTTCCCCAATGCCTTCCTGTACGATAGGCCATTAATGGCTCCTCTGGTCTTCAATTACAGTACAAATCTGGGAAAATCCCCAGGGTGGTGCATGTCTGCTTTGTGCCTAGCTTGGTCCCTTTAACAGGCAGGTGGGACGAGTGAGTGGCCCAGCAGGAAGATGCCCACCAGTGAGGGGAACAGATGCAAGCAGGGCTTCCAGAGGTAGCCGCTGGCCATTCCCAGAATCCACAGAGTACACAGGGGCCCCGTGGCTCCTCCCTGTCCTGCTGTCCCTGCTCCAGGAAGACAGCCCTCACTGGCTCTGGTGAGCCAAAGCAGTGCCCAGAGCTGGGGGCTGGATCCCAGGGGCAGACAGGTCGTGCTTGCTCCGGAGTGCAGACGTGGCTCCACAGAGCTGCCCACCCTCCCCACTGAATATCACAGTGTTGACTCCGGTGGCAGAAATGGGTTGCCCCACAGGACGGGGCCTGTGACCTCCTGCAAGCCATTCGGTATGAGCCTTGACTTCCTCCTCTGTGAAATGGGTGTACTCTGATTGTGAAAAGAACTAACCTGTGAAAGCCACTGGCAGGCAACTCTTGCTCCATTAGGGAGCAAGGTCCTGGGTCAGCACCTCAGGCGTGCTAGCCCAGAAGGAGAAGGCACCCCAGAAACCAGTTAGTTGGTCCATTTGCTTTCAGTCTGGAAAGCCCAGCTGAATTGAGAGGAAGAGGGGAGACTGTGTCTGAAGCTCCAGACTCAAGTCGGGCTGTTACATTGCTCATTCCCCCCAAAATGAAAAATGTCCAGGCAACCAAAACCTCTGGGCTATCTGCTTCTTTAGGCCCTGAGATCATTAGGTGCCACCACCTTCTCTTGGCCCTGGACAGTGTTTTAGTCTCCAAACGGCCTTCCCAAGGGCCGCTGCTCCCTTCCCAGCCCTCTCCTCTCCCCTCTCTCGGGACAGGACGCCCACAAGGCAGCTCTGCCTTTCACTCCTTCTGGAACCTCAGCTCAGAGGGCGGTGGCCATCACTTGTCACTTGGGCTTCCTCCAGGCGGGAGGAAAGACGAGGAAGACAGGCTGGCTGATTGCTTTGATTCCCCTGGACTGGAATGAAAACAGGGACTGCCAGGAGCCGGGCTTTGGGAAAAGGCAGCCAAGGCTGGCCAGTGATCCGTCCTGTTGACATGTGCTTGTGATGGATGGGGACAGAATATGGGACCCAAATTTGATTGGCTGTGTTATTCACAATGTTGACAACTTCCTTCCTGGCCTCCGGCCTGCCCGCGATGAGCCCCTGTTGTCTGAATTACATTCTTGGCATCAGCCTGCCAAACCGACGTCAGCCAGGGGACTCGGGAGTCTCCCTCAATTAGGTGAGCCAGGCCTCGCCGACGGGCGGTGTCAGGAACCCCCAGCAGACAGACAGGATCAGGGTCCAATGTCAGATGATTGGAAAAGCCGTGATGGAAAGGGAGAGAGAAGGAAGTGGGGAAAGAATATCTGTGTAATGGTTCTCTTCATTTTTCCTTTCCCAGGTGCCCCAGGCGGAACTTTGCAGTGGGAGTTGTGGGGTTTATCTTGACTTATCTTATTTCTCCTCTCTCCCCCCTGAAGGATGTTTTAGACATTTTTACAGGATTGTTCAGCAAAGAGAAGGCAATGTGGCCCTTCCCAGAGAGATGCAGAGCTGATGATCAGTGTAGGGGATAATTTGCATTTCTTAAAGTTCCCAGGCGATGGTGCTGCCCATCCAGGGGTCACACTTGGCCTTAGGACTTTACCAAGAGCATCATTCTGTGATTAAATAAAGCAGGTAATTCCTTAGGGATTTCTGTAGTGGAAACATTGTAACCAGTCAGTAGAATGTTCTGCAATGATACAGAATCGCTGGTTATCAATCTGAGCTCACTATTTCTAATCGCCTGTGGCCTTACCCTTCTCTCACCCCACCCCCAGGGTTGTGATTGCTGGTGTTCTGTCTTTGTCCAAGGGTGCTCTCAATCCAGAGGCAGGGACCTTAGGTGCAGCAGCCTACAAGCAGATCTCCTGGGCACCTGCCATTTCTCCTTGGAAAAGAGCTACTGAATGAAACCTTGCAAATTGTGTGGCCCTGGGCTCATTGTACTTAACCTCTCTGAAATGTCCTCCTGAACTATAGGGTTAACAGAAGCCCCTGCCTCTTAGGGTCGCTATGAGCACAGACTGAGTTGATGGTGTCTCCCATGGAAAGCACTGTGTATGTGCTCATTAAATATGCTTCTGCATTCTGAGTGTCCCTGAGAGATGGTCTTGGCCAGTGCCATATGGCACAGGGTGAGCAAGAGAAACAGGCTTAAGAGGATGACAGAAAATAGCAGAGATGGTCCTCCTTGGAACCCCCTGTAAGCTGACGGACTGCTTCTCTCCAGGTTAAGCTGGTTAGCATCGATGCGGCAGAAATAGCAGACGGCAACCCCTCTTTGGTTCTTGGCCTGATATGGAACATAATCCTCTTCTTCCAGGTAAAATAATGTCCTTTCTGTAACACCCTATAAGGGTCTTGAGTCCACTTAGTACCAACAGAACAGTGTGGGTCCAGCTCAAGGGAGTCAGTGAGACTCAGTTGCTACAGACTTTGACTTTTCTTTTCACTAAAATAGAACTGGAAATAGAACTGGAAATAGAAAATAATGGTTTATTATTAAATGATCCACTTGTGAAAGATTTCCTTGAACTTTTGGCATAAGGATTACTTTCCAGAGACACAAGCACAAACAAAATTGGATCCCATTCTGTGTAAGTCTTGAACTTAAAAAGAAAGTCTCTGTATCTCAGAGCCTCAATATCCACAACTGTGAAATGGGAGCAGTGGTCATAAAATGTGGTGAGCAGCCAGAAAAGCCACATATAAGGGCTCTTTGTCCACTGTCTAGTGTTTTATGCGGGAGTTAGTTACTGAACCCTATTGTGGAGTATCCTAAGAGGTGCTAAAATGATCAGAAATGGTTAAAAGTCAAGGCTTTAATTCCGACCAGAGCCTGACTCATTCATTTGATACATATCTGTTGAGTTTCTCCAGCATGCCAGCTCCTGGACCTATGAGGCCCTTGTCCTCTTAACCCTCTGGGATCACAGACAGGTCACTCCCTGCTATGGAATTCTGGGGTGCAGGCCATGACCAAGGTGTGACCTGGTGATGTAAGAGCCCCAAGCAGGGGCAGTGACCTCAGCTGAGCAAGGGAAATGAGGCAGACTTCCTGGAGGAAGGGACCAGAGTTGGGTTTTGAAGAGTGAATAGGAGTGTGTGTGATCAGTGCTTCTCAGATTCGCTGGGGAATGGGTGAAATGCAGGTTCAGACTCCGTAGGCTGGTCTGGAGCAAGGCTTGGGGTTTTGCTTTTCTCCTAAGTGCATGTGATTGGAAGAAAGGGACAGCCAGGCAGCAGAACTCGATTGAGCAGGGACAGTGGCCTTGAAATATCTCCTGGGAGTGGCAGGTGATAAGGAAAGAGGGGTGCATGGAGTCGGGTCAGGAAGACCTGTGTGTGGAGGCTGGCCAGAGCGGCATAGGCTGCCGGAGGGGCTGACCCTTCCCTTGGAGGGTACCTATACCCCGAGTAGAGCAACCAGCCGCCATCGGACAGGCTTCTTCCCTTCAGAGAACCAGCTCTGCATGAGCCGGTCCCTCCAGCCCCGTCCGAGAGCTGCAGGTCAACACAGGGCTGCTTACTGGGAGCGTCTGTCTGGCCCTGGTGTCTGAACCGCTGTTTTCTTTCTAGATTAAGGAGCTCACGGGCAACCTCAACAGAAACTCTCCATCTTCCAGTCTGTCACCTGGCTCGGGGGGCACAGATTCTGACTCTTCCTACCCACCTACACCCACCACCGAGAGGAACGTGGCAATCTCAGTGAAAGACCAGAGGAAGGCCATCAAGACCCTGTTGGCATGGGTGCAGAGGAAAGCAAGGAAGTAAGCTGGGCCCTCTGCCCACCGAACAGTTAAGGAGGGGTTTTCAGGCCAAGGGAGGAGGGTCCCCTTCCCTGGAGTGGCGAAGAAGAGGGGAGTTCCCAGCTCTTAAGATGCCAGTTGTGCCCAAGCAGATGCTTCCTGTGTGCCTTCAGAGCAGGGAGCACTGTGCTTGGCAGTGTCTGCACACAGAGCTGATGGGAGGATCTGAATGGAACTCAGAGGGGCTGTCGCCGCGCCAGCTCCCCAAATGGCTCATCTCTTGGGTTCTGGAAATATGTGCCCATTTATTATTAAGCTTCAGGGTGTCTTTCAGAGTTTGTATCTACTATATAGAAGTGATAACGTGGGCGGTGACATAGTCAAGGTCAGGTTTGGCCTGCTCAAAACTGAGATAGGTGAACCAGAGCGAAGCGCCAGCCCCCAGCGTACCCCGGGCCAGGGCTGAGGGTATTGATGCCTGCAGGATTCCATCCCTTGCCCCTCACTTTTTAAATTGTTGTTTTATTCATAGTAATAACGATAGTCGGTGCCACCTCACGAGTGGCTTCCGTGTGCTACCTGCCTTGTGCATTAGGTTGACCATGGGGCAGGGGTCTACACCTGGGGCCACTGCAGCCACGGCCCCTGTCCTGATCGGCTCGCTCACCTGCACGGTGTGCCGCTGTGGTCCTCCTCCAGGTATGGCGTGGCGGTGCAGGACTTCGCGGGCAGCTGGCGGAGCGGGCTGGCTTTCCTGGCTGTAATCAAGGCCATTGACCCCAGCCTGGTGGACATGAAGCAGGCCCTGGAAGACTCCGCGCGGGAGAACCTGGAGAAGGCCTTCCGAGTCGCACACGAGGCCCTGCATATCCCCAGGCTCCTGGAACCAGAAGGTAGCACGACGCTCACTCCTCCATGGTTCCTTCTCAGTGATTCTTATCACAAACGTACCCCCTGCTGTTCCAGGTGGAAAATGTGAAAAATACAGGAAATTCTTCTATCTCCTATATTCCAATATTTTTAATGCACCCATTTATAATATCGTTACGCAGTTGGCATTATTCAGTGTGTGTGTCATTTTGTCTCTTACTGTTTTAGCTGAGTTGACACATGCATCTCACATATTGCTGTGATGTCAGGCACCAGTAAAGATAAATAGCACCCAGAAGGCCTACTAAAATTCACTCAGCTCCTCCCTGCTCGTGGCCGTCGAGGGGGCTTCAGAAATGATCTTTTTTGCCCAGAGTGGGCAGCTCACTGCAGAAAGCTCAGCAGGCAGCTCAGATTGTCCCCTCAAGGGCAGGTCCCAGCAGCAGAGTGGCAGAGTAGAAGGGTATGCACCGAATGAAGGGACTCAGGTATCTCTTCTGTCACATGGCTTTCCAGGGGTTTGAGCCATTTGGGACTCGCTGTGGCAGTAAGTGGGGTGCACAAGTCACCAGACTTGCTGGTGGAGCCAGCAGTGAGCCATCTGCTCCCAGTGGGAGTGACTAAGACACAGGGAAGGATGGACGGCACTTTCAGAATAAGAAGCCGTGGCTTTCCATCCTGGTTCACCGGTCTGCTGTGAGATTTCAGTGAAGTGATTCACCCTCTCTGAGCTCAAATTTCCTTACTTAGAAAAAGAAAAAGCCCTCGATGATCGGTGGGCCTCTCCACTGAGCGCCCTGCAGTGCTGTGGGGAAGCCCTGTGTCCTGCTAACCCCCGTGTCTCTCTTGACAGACATCATGGTTGACACGCCGGACGAGCAGTCGATCGTGACTTACGTGGCCCAGTTTCTAGAACGTTTTCCGGAGCTGGAAGCTGTATGTTGGTTTTCCTTGCCTTCAATTTCAAAAAGTGTACATTTCCACTGGCTGCCATCAGACCTAGCGGGGACTTGGACTGTCATTCTCTGTTAACAGGGACAACCCCAAGTTGGTGGTCCTTGCCTTGCCATGTTTTAACTTCCAGATTATATAAAACATAGATTACGCGTAAAAGTTGGGGAGGAAGCTGGTCACCTCTTTGCCAAACCTCTTCCCATTGCAAACTTTATAAAATTATAAAAGACATCCACTTATGATACAGATCAGCCACTTGATTCTTCAGCTGTCAGGCGGAACATCTTAACAATCACCAGCCTTTATCAGTGTTGAAAATATATTGATCCAATTGTGGTGGCACACACCTGTGATCCCAGATACTCAGGAGGCTGAGGCAGGAGGATTGCAAGTTCAAAGCCAGTCTCAGCCACTACGAGGCACTAAGCAACTCAGTGAGACCCTGTCTCTAAATAAAATACAAAATAGGGCTGGAGATGTGGCTCAGTGGTTGAGTTCCCCTGAGTTCAATCCCTGGTACCCCCCCCAAAACAAAACAAAACAAAACAAAACAAACAAAAAATATATATATACACACACACACACACACACTCACACCATTCACAGACATGTTTTATATCTTCAGAACCTCAGATATACTTGGGGATAGAATATTTTTGGAGCAGAATCACTTTGCAGAAGTGGTGGCTTCATTGAACACCCCTCCTCCACCATGCACAGCCCTGAGATAACGTCAACAAAAAGAATGACAGTGACAATAGCAACAGCCTTGTGAATTCATCCATTCTTTACTGGATGTGGAGTGCTGGCTCAGGGGACTCAGCAAGGAGCTGGACCAGGCTGAGGGTGGACCAGCTCCGTGGTAGAGTGCTTGCCCAGCATGCACCAGGCCCTGGATTCCACCCCAGATAGATAGATACATACGTCATACATCATACATTCAGGCATACCATTGGACAGATGAGGTCCCTAACTTTGTGTAGCTTGGTTCCATAGGGAAAATCATTAATGGGTCAGCAAACACATTATTATATCCAGCAGTTGTAAATACTAAACAGAAAAGAAAAGATGCATCAAGAGTTAAAGAATGCTTGTAGGAAAGGGGGACGGACTGCTCTTTTTGCCGGATACTGATTATTTTACTGTGCCCCTGGGTTTCCAGGCCATTCCTGCAATCCAGCCTGGTTCAGAATCAGTAGCCTCTTCTTATAGATGGGACTATGGGTGCTCAGAGAGGGTTAAACGTCTCCCCAGGGTCACTCAGCTATTAAGTACAAAGTTGGGATTTGACCCCAGCTCTCTGTGGTTCCAAAGCTGAGTCTCTTAGGTCCCTCACAACATGCATCTGAAGCTGGCACCCCATTTCCCACTGAAGAGCCTCACCAGGTGCTGCGGCTGTCATCCCATCTGCCCTAGCACCCTGGAACACTTCCCAGGGCAATTTGGAGGCAGGGATTCCTGGGCAGGAATGCCATTGTTGCTGTTTGGAGCCCTGTGACCTAGGGCTGGCTACTCAGCTTCCCTGACATCTGCATCAGATGCCAACTGTAAAGTGGAGATTTCACCCACCTTTCGGGGCCGTGTGAAGAATAACTAGACGTGTTCCCAGCCTTGGGCCTGACACAACAGTGGACGTTCCGCGTGGAGCAGTGATAATTATTTTTGCAATTCAGTTTTCCTGGCCCTTTATTAAATTCCAAATACCAGGCCTCAGGGCATTCATTAATCCTGACCTCTTAATCAGGAGGCAGAATTTGAAATCAACTCAAACTTAATGGTATTTGTGTGAATCAGGGCCACAGTCAGGATTCAGCCCAGCTGACACTTGGGTGTCCCCAGTGCTGACATCAGAGACGCAGCTGAGAATAGAGAAGTTAAAGAACAATTCCTGGGGAAACTCGTCTTGGGTCACAGGACACAGTGCTTCACTGCAAAGCAATCGTTTACACCCTCAAGGGACACAGATGAGAATTCTCAGCTCACCAGATGTCCCTGAGCTGGGCCTCCACGATGCTGCACTCACCCAGCGCTGGCCACAGATGAGGTGCTATGCCTCACTCCATGGCACCACATGTGGTTTCTTTGGGTGAATATACCATACGGACTTGAGAAGAATGTGTCTTAGGCAGTTAAAGAATTAACATTCTTTAATATACTGCTCATGTGTGAATATGCTGTTCTAATAGTCCATCTGCAGACTGATTCTTTTTTATGCATTTCTGTCAGTTAGTACAGGAAAGAAGTGTTTGGCAGTCTCCAACTAGGTCTGCAGACTTGCTTGTCTCAGTTTGGTCGGGTTTTGCTTTCTGTGTGTGGGTACTGTGCTATTTGGTGTGTTGACGTTTAGGGCCCTTGTATCTTCCTAATTACTTGACACTTCTGTTTTTATGACATTTCTCTCTGTCTTGAGGTATGCTTTTTCTGATGCAGTCATAGCTTTCTTGTGATTAGTGTTATATGATATTTTTCCATCTTTTTTCCTTTCATGGATATGTGCACTTGCACTAAAGTATGTTTCATATAAACAGCATACGGCTGAGTCTTCTTTCTTATCCATCTGACAAGCTGTTTCATTTAATCAGTGCATTTTCTGTCCTGCTACATGGTTTTAATCTACCATCTGGATTACCCTTTTCCATTGATCCCATCTGTTCTGTGTTCCTTTGTTCTTCCTAACTACTCTTTTTTTTTTTAATTACACAACCGTTTTTGGTGTCCACTTTCTCTCCTCTATGGGGCTGGTAGCCACATCTCCTTGATGAATCATTTTATCATTTTAACAACTTGATGAATCAGTTGCTCTAGGGATTGTAAATGCTCATCATTTAACCTACCTTAAATGATTATCACACACTTCAGATTCAGTGCATCCTGTATGTCTCTAAATGCAACAGTGTAACTCCATTTCTTTACCCTTTAACTTTCCTTTACTTAATTATCCATTTTAGTTCACAATACTTTGTTATTTTTGCTTTAAATAGTAGACTTTTGAAGAAACTGTATAAATAGTCTTTTCCATCACATACGTTTACTCTTTCTGGTACTTTTTCCCTTCAGATCCGGACTTCTATCTCTAATCATTTCCCTTCAGCATGAAGAACTTCCTTTGTTTGTCTCGAATGTAGATTAAAGGGTTATTCCAGAATCTTTTCTTTTGCTAATTCTTACACTGGGCCATTGGTGGTTCTACTTCTAGTGCCTATTGCTTCTCTTGATTATAGGTTTTACTTTCAGGATCCTTCAAGAATTTTAAAAAATTTTTATACCAGACCTAATATATAAAAGGATAGTAGAGATTGAAGTAGATAACATTTTTTTCCTCTATTAGTCTGTTTTCTGTTGATATAATAAAATAACTGAGGCTAGGTAGTATTCCAGGAAAGAGATTTATTTAATTCACAGTCTCGGATGTTCAAGGGCATGGAGCATCAGTTGGCTCTAGTGAGGACCATCATGGTGGACGTGTGTGCCAGAGAGACCACATTCTGAGATAGCAAGCCAGAGAGTGATTCAGGGGTCAGGCCTACTCTTTTAGAACACTCACTCCCTTGGGAACTAACTGGGGTCTGATGAGAACAATACCCTTGCATCCCTGAGAGGTCTCATCACCCCTCAGCTGGCCACAGTGGCTACCGCTCTTCTAACCTGGGAGTCCTTGGGGGACAGCCCATGGCAGTGGAGGCAGCCCTTTCCCAATCAAGCCCCTGGAACAAGCAGTTGAGCATTTTGACTGTATCAGGAAGTGACAGGAGGAGCTCTGTTACAGTTTTATTTCATTTCAGTTCTCTGATTTCACATTTATTTGAGGGTGAGGTCAGTATGCACAGTCTCCCTCTACCAGGGCAGGGGAGGCCAATCTGTAGTACCACCAAGAGTCTCTCCTCTTCAGCCTGGCCCCTGGCTGACTCTTACACACTAAAACTCCTATGCGGGACCAGGAGCATATGACAGGAAGTCGTTTTGTGTTTTTAGCCCTTCCAGATTTAGTCTCCCACTCCAGCCCTCCCAGTCTATAAAACCTGGTCCATCAGGCCTCAGCTCAGAGGGTTAGTGGCCCACCAGTGCATACCAAGACTGGGCCGGTGGTCCAGTGGCGTGATGTAGCTGAGAGTCTCTGCTTGCTTAAGAAGTGCCCAGCCCTCCCTGGAGATTAGCACATTGAGATTTCCTTGCATCCATAGCTTTACTATTTTATTTTTAATTTATTTGACATTGCCATTTATATCTTAATCAGAACACTTTGTCAGAGTGGCTGTGTGTGTGTGTCTGTGTGTGTGTGTGTTGAGAGGGGAATAGAGATTGTATTTAAACTTTGAGCTTGAATTGATTTCATGTCGTCCTATGATTCTTTGCAGGAAGATTTTGTGGATCCAGATAAAGAAGACCCCATTGAGTCCACCTTTGTCCGCATCAAAGAAACCCCCCCTGAGCAGGAAAGCAAAGTCCTCCTCCTGACTGAGAACGGGGAGCAGGCCTACACTGTCAACCACGAAACCAGCCACCCGCCACCCACCAAGGTCTTTGTCTGTGACCAGCCAGAGAGCACAGGGGGATTCTGCCTGGGTGGCATGTCCAGCCGTTCACTGTCCTCCGAAAGCTCCACTGATTTCATGCATCAGTTCGTCGACCAAGTCCTCCAGGGGAGCCCAGGGAAGATGAGTAGCATCAGTGAGCCAGCTCCGGAATCTTCCATCTTGTCCACCAGAAAGGACGGCCGGAGGTCCAACTCTTTGCCAATCAAGAAAACTGTCCACTTTGAGGCTGACACCTATAAAGACGCCTCCTGCAGCAATGACCCTTTCTACGGTCCCGACCTCAGCTTTGAAGAGAGCCTGAGTGCCACCCAGGAGCTGCCGAAGCAGGACGAACAAGCCTCGTCAATCCAGGTTGCCCAGGAAAAGAAGCCAACGCAGGAACCCTCAGCTGTCCCGGGAGCAGCCTCCACCAGGGTCCCCGGGGACTTGCCAGGGGCAGATGATCATGCTCAACCCTCCCAGCATCCCTCCTCCTGTAACGGTGCTGTAGAGGGTCCCCCTGGCCTCAGGGAGGAAGGTCAGTCTCCTCCCCACCCTGGAGAAAACACCATTGTGGCCAGTGCCCAGGAGGTCAAGGTGAAGCTGCTGACCGTGGAAGCTGTGGATAAGGAGGACTATTTTGAAGGCATCCCGTTGAAAGCTTCGAAATTTAACAGCGACCTCGTCGATTTCGCTTCTACCAGCCAAGTTTTCCCTGAGGCCCCTTTGCCACAGGAGAAGACACCCACGGAGGAGGTGGCCACTGACACTCCTGCTGAAAAGCTAGGCAAGAAGAGGGGCAAGTCCGCCCACACCGGGAGGGAGTCGCCCGAGCCCCAGGTCAAGCGTGACAGGCAGGAGCCTCCCAAGGGCTCCGAGCAGGAGGCACAAGTCTACTCTTTGGCCCTGGACGAGACACCTGTGGATAAAAAGCCAGAGGTGTATGAGAAGGCCAAGAGAAAGTCCACCCGGAGTCTCAGGGAGGAAGAGGGGGAAGCCGAAGGCCTCCCGGGGGTCGTGGAAGAATTGCCTTCCAACCCCCCAAGCGGCAGTGTCAGCCTGGAGACCCTCAGGAGCCACAGCGAAGAAGGCCTGGATTTCAAGCCCTCTCCGCCCCTCTCCAAGATTTCCGTCATTCCCCACGATCTTTTCTACTACCCGCATTACGAGGTGCCGCTGGCTGCGGTTCTGGAGGCCTATGCGGAAGGCATGGAGGATTTGAAAAGCGAAGATGTGGACCTGGAGGAGCCGGAGGGCTACCCCCACGAGCTGGACCCCAGGAACAGGGAGGCCGCCAGCGCCCAGAGCGGCTGCAGCCTCTCCACGCTGGTTGGGGTCCTCCCTAGTGCCAGCACCCATGCGTCCTATGTCAACGGGAACGCCGCAGGGGCCATGCCAGCCGCAGAACCCAGTCCCCTGTCCCCCAACAAGGACCACCAGCCAAGAGAGACCAAAGAGAGTGGCCCTGAGGAGAGCCATCAGGTACTTGATCATGGGTTGGGGAGTCCTGGCTCCTGCCTGGGGAAATTCTGTGCTTGTTTCTCCATGACATGGGTGAGCAGGTTCCCCTTGTGGGCACCCCAGGGCACTAAATCAAAGGGGCAGCACTTTTGTGAGTCTCAGGCAAGTGCTAGGTGGACACCTGAGAGGGAACCCCTCTTGAAATTTTGTACCATTGTCACCTCGCTGGCCTTATCCACCTTACCCCAATCCTGGCCCTAGTCACAGGTCTGTAAAAGGATCGTGAAGGTCACTTGTGAGGGTCCAGCAAGGTCGAGGCAGTAATTGTGGTAAAAATAGCAACTGTAGCCAACAGGGAAGCTGTGTTAGTGAACTGCAGTGCCTTTCCCCTGCAGCCACCTGGGGAGGACAGGGACAGCTCTCCCTGACCCCAGCCGTGATTTGCAGGGCCTTTGGCACATTCAGCACTACCCTGCGGCTCCTGTGGCCTGGAATGGGCTGTGTCCATGGGAAGGAAGCCTCTCGCTCTTGAGCTTGAGCTGGACACACACTTGTCCACCACGCATATCCACCCCATCAGGCCCAGCAGCTCAGGAGGCACAGGCGTGCACAGGGAGCAGGCGTGTGGGGCCCTCTGGGGAGTGGGCAGGGGCAGAGAATCAGGGGAGGGGAGGGTCTTCCTGCAGGTGCCGGTGATAGGAATGCAGCACTGCGGCCCAGGGAGGCCAGAGGGAGCTTTGCAAGCCAGCTGGCTGGGTCCCCAAGGGCTACCCAAGGGATGGGCCTGGGCTCGGCCCTCACCCAGCTCACCTGTCACCCAGTCTGCCCCTGTGGACAACAATGTCAACACTGCCCCCCCCCAAAAAAAGGAGAATTCTGCCTGTACTATTAGATGTGGGGGACACAGAGTCCCCCAAGGATTGGATATTAGGGAATGTGGCATCTGGCGGGGGGTGGCGGTAGAGCTGCAGGGGGTTCCGAGTGGATAATGGTCCCCTGGTGCTGGAAGTTGAGTGGGAACGTGACCAGCTAGTCCAGTTGCTTTAGTGCCCCCTGGGCCCCCTGTCTCTCCCCAGGCTCTCACCTCTTCCTCCCTCCCAGTCCAGCCTTCCCACAGCCCGCCAAGGGGTGACCCCAAAACACTGTCTCAGCATCCCATCACTCCCCTCTCCTGTCTCCAGGGTCAGTCCAGACTCCCAGATGACCCCGAGACTCTGCCCTCTCCAGCCTGCCACTTCCCACACCCCCAGACCTGCCTTCCTGTCCAGCCAGGCCAGCCCCGCAGAATCCCAGACACACCACGCTCTGGGCTGGGCTGGTCCCACAGCCTTCCTCGGCTGTCACCCTGCAAAGCCCCATGCAAAGGACACCTGCTGGAGCCTTCCCAGCCCCTGCCCAGGCAGAGGCGCGGCTCCTGCACCTGCAGCCGGTCACGTGTCTGACGCGTTTCTTCCTTTGAGTGCTTAGCGGGTTTTCATGGGGTTTGTTCTCTCCCAGGAGCTCATGGGCATCTGTGTATTACTCTCTGACCCTAGACACCAGCATGGTTCGGGGACAAAGGTGTATTGCATGCTGGTTTGGGGCATAGGCAAGTGTCAGGTGGGTGAACGATAGTTCTGCTCAAGAAAGTCCCGGATGGAGCCAGCCTTGCACTCTGGGGAGGGCTACAGGGAGAAGGGGGCTTGAGGAGCCTCAGATGGGACTCAGGTGGAAAGCTGCCACACCTGGGGCTTGGTTTCATTCAGTTTGCCCTCGGGACAGTGGCGGGGAGAATTCCAGGTGTAGAGGGCAAACGTGGCAGGAGATGGCCGTTTGGGGCAGGGCAGTGAGTGCGCCATCTGTGGGACAGATGGTCCCACAGGGCCAGGGACGCACTGCCCCCAGGGAGAGGAGCCCCACCTGCCTTTCCGCCTCTTCCCACTGCTGGAGGCTGACTTCTCCGAAGCCAGCCCTGCCCTGTGGGAGCCTAAAAAGTCAGTGAGATCAGGCCTTCATGTCCCCAAGCTGGGGACAGGGGAACAATGGGGGCGATTCTTCAGATTGTGGTCAGCCAAAAAGCTCCTTTAGGACAAAAGGTCGGGGTCAGGTGGGGGACAGGGAGAGAGTAGAGTGGCAGCTCTGCCCCATTACTTAGAATGACTACTCAGCGGCGGGACCCTCTCCCTGGCCCGCGCAGTGCTGGCAGTGGGAACGCCGAAGGCAGACCAGCCCGGCTGTTCCAGCATGTGGGCAGGTTGAGGGAGCCCTGGGGGGGATCATGGAATCAAGTGGAGACGCAGAATCCCCATGGCACTGGTGGTGTGAACTGGGGCAGGTCACGCGGCCTCCTGAGCCTGGCCCTCCCTGCATCTGGGGGACTGGTATTCACACTCTGGCTCCGCCTCTCCAACAAGTGCCTGCCCACTCCCCGAGCTCCCGGCATTTGGCTCCGGAGACAGGGGGTGGATCGTTTGATACCTGGCCCTCAGATGAACTTGGAGGCTGCCAGCTGCCCTGGTCCCAGGAGTAGCTCCACAATCCCTGAGCTTCTCTATGTCATGGGACATTGCTGTTGGGTTCAGGAGGCTGGTATGGCAGTGGTCAGAAGCTCTTCGTTTCCAACTGAGAGCTAGAGATGTGGCGCTGCATGGCCCTTGGCCACAGTGGGGTGTCATCCCACAAACTCTGAACTGGCCTGTGTGTACCACTCAAGCTTGTGGCCACCTGTGCACACTTGACCCACCTGATTTCCGGGATCCTTCCTGTGCTTCACAGGGAGGAGGGTGGTCATGTGGAGGAGTCAACTCCTGCCCCTCTGAGAGACATCTTCTCTAGGAAACCCCATGGTACAGTGGGAAGGGGTTGGGAGTTGAATATTGTACCCAGCTGACAGGCAGAAAAGGAAGGCTCTAAGAGAGGTCAGCTGCTCAAGGTCAAAGAGCTGACTCAGCGGGATGTGAAGTAAGAGCCTCCTGACTCTAAGCCCTGCCCTGTTCTCCATCCATTTACAGCCTTTGAATTCCACACAAGGCACAGGAGTTGGGGTGGGTTCTCTCAGGGGCAGAGGGTGCTGGAGGGAGATTACTGGGTATTGTGGCTGGGCTGGGACACTGCTCGGCGATGTCATCTGCTCTGGCAGGAAATTTGACTTGTTTTGGGCTCTTTTGTCTTCTAGTCCCAAGAATCCCCACGCTCAGAAAATATAGCGAACCCGTTAGAAGTAAAGGTCCAGGAAGGGCCAACCAGCAGTAAGAAGAAGGAGAAAAGGAAGCACATGGACCCCGACGAAGGCTCGTTATTTATAGCACCTGGAACCGTTCGGTCCTCAGAGGACCTAGAAGAAGACGCTGGCGACCACAAAGTCCCTTCCAGGTATTTTACTAAAAATCTTTTCGCCCTAGAGATGGAGCCAGAGAGTCGCTGTCTGTACTCATTCCTTTTGCAGCTTCGATTTTGGGGGGTTCAGGGGTGGCACTGGGCAAGGGTCCAGAAATACAGAGTCAGCAAAGTCCCGGTTCTCCGCACCTGGGCTCCCCTGCCTGCCTGTCACCAGAGCTTGTCAGGAGCAGGACCCGCAGGGCACCTTGCTTGCCCTCCCTCCTCACTCTGCTGTTTGGGTGGAAACAGCCACTGGCCCAAAATGGCCCAACCCAGCCGGTGCTGGTGGGAAAGTGATGAACTTGGAGGCTGCCAGCTGCCCTGGTCCCAGATAGCCATTGGGCCAAGTGGAGCCCGACTTCCCATTTATACGCACCCTACTGACTTGGAGCTTGTGACCTCTGTCCTGGTCACATAGAAGCTAGACGTGGATGTTAGTATTCTGGTGTCTCCCCCAGCTTCGGCCGGAAGGTGGTTGGGATGTTTGATTTTTCTTGGGGCAAGGAAGGAGCAGAAGGATGACGAGCCTCAGATGATCTATAGGAGCTCGCAGCACCCACCTGCCCGGTCACTCCAAGGCTGCTAGAGGAGCCAGATTTGTCACAGGGATAATGTGTCTCTGCTGTCAGAAGACCCGGGTGTCTCCCGGTCCCCTCCCCGTCATCACTGTTTCCCAAGCCCACTGCGTGCAGGGCCTTCACACAGCCTTCCTGGTTCGTTCTCACGTCGCCACCCGAGGCATGTGGGTGGGCTCGTGCTTCGCAATGGCAGACAGGGAATCTTGGACCTTGTGAACTCCCCAGGGCCTCTGGGCTTAGGCAATGGCAGCGCCGGGCTCTGAGACCAGAACCGCCGACCCCACGGTCCACATTTCTCCTCTGGCCCCTGTTCCCCAGGAGGCGGGAGTGGTCTTGGCCAATCAGGAAAATTATGGAGTCATGCATTTGGGGAGCCTGCTGGGGGCCAGAGGAAGAGCCACGGGTGCCCAGGGCTCCAGGTCCACTCTGCTTGGCTTCTGGGCCTGGGATGTGGGGAAACAGAGGCAGCCGTGAAGGAAATAGCCAGAGCAAACAGCCAGCAGCAGGCACCTCAGCAAACGCTGTGAAGGGAAGGAAGTGGGAGGGGAGCCGGGAGTGGGGGCAAAGCCAACTCCCTGGACATGCGCCGTGTGCATTGGTAGCACAGGTGAAGCCCAGGGAAGAGGAGCCCAGGACAGACAGGGAGGGGAAGCTGTCGTTTCAGGGTCCAATCTCCTTGCCCAGGGCAGAGGTCCTTCCCCCTTACCCAGGCACAGCAGTGGCAAAGCTTGAAGCTGAGTCCCAAGTGCAAGCAAAAGCGAGAACCCCAGAGCCCTCCACCTGCTGCTCCAGGGTAGGAGACGCCACCCCTCCTGGACACCCAGGAACACTGATCTGCAGCGGGGTCAGCACCTGGCTCCACATTACTGAATGGGACCGTGTTCTGGGCGCCTCTCCCCCTGGTGCAGGGTGTTTTTCTGGCCATCTCTCAGTTCTGTCTCCTTTGGGGCTCCCCACTGGACAAGGTAGAGAGGCCCATTGTTTCAGAGCCTGCAGGACCCAAGTGATCTCTGTTTCCATCCACCCTGTACCAGGCACCTGGCCATAGTTCAGTTTCTTGACTGAGCCCCTCTCCAGGCTCCTTTAGTGACTTTCCCTCTATCTGGAATGCTGGCACCTGCCTGTCCCCTGGCTTACTACATCTCAGCCTTGGTTCTCAGCTCCACCTGCCTCTTCCTCCAAGAAGATTCCCCTCTATATGTTCCTCTAGCCTCCTCTTTTTCCTCACTGTGCAGAGCCGAACTGTAATTTCCCTAGTCACCTGTGTTTAAGAATGTCTTTATCCTCCCCAGTGATCTCCTTAAAGAGAGATGTATAGAGAGCCCAGCCCCAGTAGTTAGTTAGCACAGGCACTGGCTTGTAGTTGGCATTCACTGAAATCCTTTGGGTAGAAGATTAAGGAAATAGGCACTCGCTTGATGAATGAGCTCTCTTGTCTTCTCTTGGCTCCTGGAGGGCAAGGAGGGTGGGTTCTGAGCACCTAGCCTGGTTCCTGGCACACAGTAGGATCTCGATAAGTATTTGCTTAAAGAATGAAGATCAGGATTCAAACCTACTATAAATGAATCTCAAAATATCTAAAAGGAAACTTGCTGCAAAAGCCAGGGCACCGAGGAGAGTCCCTTCCTGATACGGAGGTGCCCCCTTATTAGAAAACACCACAGACACACGTGCAGGGCACGTCTGCCTCTCCAGGCCTGCAGTGTCAGGGTCAGCTCTGTTTGAGGCACCACTGGGGTCTGGGCACCAGAGTGGGTTTTTGTCTTTGTAGGTACATTTTACTCTATTTCTGTGCTGTGACACCAGCCAGAAAAAAAGTGGCAGTTTTTAGATGGAATTACAAGGACTACGGTTTCCCTGAGCCTAACGTGGGCCTGGTATGTAATAGGCATAACTCCTAGCTGCAAATGTACCCAGTGCGGAGCAAGGCAGGGTTCTCAGGACAGCAGTGGGCAGGAAAGCCAAAGCTGCCGAGTGTCAAATTGCCCGGAAATAAACTCTTGAGACAAATACATTTTCCCCAGACCCCCAGGAGGTCACTCAGGGGGCTTGAATCAAGGAAACTGAGTTGACTCTCTATGCTGAGGTCCACAGCACCGAACCAACACCTGGCGCCAAAACAGGACCCCGTGCTCAGAGCTCATGAGCCCACCAGCACCATTGGCTCTGCAGAGTAGGCAGGATGGGAATGATGATCCCTTTACAGAGGAGGAACGTTGATCAGAGATACAAGTCTGTGGCCGGCATTGCCAGCTAATCTGCTAGGAGCCTAGATGACAGCCCAGGCCTCCCTTGCCACAGCCCTCAGTGGGCCACCTGTGTTTCAAGGACAGAGGCCCATCCCCCGCCAGCCTCAAAGTTTTGGTGGGAAAATTTGCCTGCTTGTGTATGAGGGGAAAGGGGCACACCCAGGACCAGGCCGCAAGAGCAGCGCTCTGAGTGGGAAGGAGGGCTAGAGGGCCCAGATCCCGGGTGAGGCCCGCGGCTATCTAACTTGCAGAGGATCCAGGCGGGCCCCAGGACCTCTGGGTGCTTGGACCCAGAAAGCCAGGATTGCTAAGTGGCCTGCTTTCCAGTAAGCATCCTGGCGGTGTCGCTCTGTAGTCCGTGTGTCTCTGTATCCGTCTCACTGTGCATAAGCACCCACCCACAAAGTGGGCATGTTGGATAAAAGTTGTCATTTCTGTCCCTCGGTCTGAAGTCGCCACTTGCCTGAGTGCACGCGGGGACAACTGGGGCTGGGGGTAACCATGTCACAAGCCTCGGGGAGTTCTGGGTGGTGTCAATTTAAAACATGTCTTTGTTTTTCAGGACTAGTCACAGTGACTCCAGTATTTACATTCGACGCCATACTAATAGGTCTTTGGAATCGGTTAGTATGTGAATTTATTCTTCCCCTCGGTCCCTGCTAATTAATCAATTCCTTTCCACCCTTCCTCCTCCCAGGCCTAGAGCTTTGAAATCACTGTTGAGCAACAACTATACTTTTGGATAGAAGACAAACACATTGAAACCTTGTCATTAAGCACAGTCCAATTGGATGTCCAGTTTGGGCGATAAGGGATGTAAATAAAGTGATGATTTTAAAGCCCAAAGGCCTCTTTGTTATAAAAAAAAAAAAAAAGAAAAGAAAGAAAAAAAAAAAACCACACATCCAAGACGCCTCCCTAGACCCAGCGCACACACCTAGAAGGTCCCATTCAATGACAGGGGCATAACATAGGTAGAGGTCCCTCTTGACATTTGCGGATACCCAGCCTCAAATTTCGGGGACCCGCAGCAGCCCAGCTCTGCAGCACACCTGGAAGGGGTTATGGGTGGCGGGAGGGCCTCTCCCGGTCACCCTGGAGGGCGTGGGGAAGTGGTGGGACAATGTTGACCGTTTAGCAGTTTGATTTTGGAATTAGCTGTTTGCAGTATCGAGAAAAGCCTGGCACCCTTGACTCTGTTTGAAATCATCTTATTTTCTGTTTCAGAGATTTCATCTTTACTAATTGGGTTGCGGGGTTTTGTTTATAAATTTCACTGTAGGATCATTTTAGCTATGTTCAATTGAGGAATGCCGCAGATCTGGACGACAGAAGAAACCGAATGTTAACCAGGTTGGTGGCTTCGTTCTGCTGCAAGTTTGGTGGGGTTAAAAAAAAATGTTTTTAATGAGGCATAGCCTACCTGATGGGGTGGAGATTTTATTTTCCTTCTGTGTTTTGTGGATCACAGTAATAATAACTTGAAAGAATGTAGGAAATACCTGTTCCAGAGGCTCCGAATATAAATTCAGTATGCGTGGGAGGGTGAAGCGGATATTAATGAACAGTGGTGGAGTGTGGTTTAGAAAACCAGTCAGGGCAAAGAGGAGTCTGAGTTACGAGCCGACAGCTGCATTTAAATCAAGCAGTGGCAGAAAGGAGGTACCGCCGCAGGGCCAGGCAGGAGGAGAGGGGCGGGGGAGTGGCCCCTGACAGCCTGTGTTCATTCTGTCGCCCCTGCAGGTACAATACTCAGAAGCTCACTGAGCTGATTTTACAGTTTTATGGCATCAGAGCAGACATGAAGAGGGAATGCAAACATGCCGGGATGTCCATGAAAGTATTTCTTACTGTTGGAGAACTAGCTAGCCCAATCGAATGTCGCTGAGCTGGCTGAGAAACAGCCCATGTAGAGCCCAGAGAGCAGAAACATCTCCCAGTCTGCGATGGCCCCAACCAAGTCGCAGTCATACAGGGGCTTTAATTGCTCTCTCTCCCTCCCTCCCACTCTCTCCCTATCCCCCCCAATGGCTTTGACTTGGCCTGGGAGGTTAGATAACTGGAATTGGAAGCTTCTGTCTGAATATTGCTCAATCCCCAGGAGCATGGGCCTTAGGACTCCTCCCCTCTGGCTCCTAAAAAAGAAGCAAGCCAAGCTTCCCTTGCTGGCCTGAAACGGAAATGCAAAGTCAAGTTTTTGACTAGGCTGAACAGGCTCATAGGACAACACTTGAGATAGAGCAGCCGAAAGTAAAACCCGAGGGGTGACAGATGCGGGTGTCGATCACAGGTCCACAACAAGCATTTATCACCCTTGAAATTCACTTTTTTCTATAATTTAAAAAAGAGAAATGCTGTCAGCTGATCATTATCAGCATGTGAATCACTCAGTTTGCTTATTTATTTATTTTATCGCCATTTGGAGGATGGAACCCGGGCCTCACACACTCTAGGCAAACACTCTGCCACGAGGCTGCATCCCAGCCTTTACTTTTTTATTTTGAGACAGTGTTGCTAAGTTGCACAGGCTGGCCTTGAACTTGGGGTCCTCCTGGTTCAGCCTCCCAGGTCCCTGGGGTTACAGGTGTGCATCCCGTGCTACTTGAATCACATGAATCACTCCACTCAGTTGACACCCTCCCCCCACACGTCAGGGATGCTGTCTTTTGCCTCCTCATTTCAGGCTCAGGAAGGGCCTTAGACGCTGCCACTCAGGCACCCACATCAGCCCCTCCCCCAGGTCAGCTGGACCCTCTCTTCTGCTCTGCCCTAGGCTGGCTCCCACCATCCTGCCAGCCCCTGTGACTTAGCAGGCAAAATCGAAGTGTCATTTTAAGCCCTGCGTCCTATAGAATAAAAGAGACACACCTGGCCAAAATCATATCTAATAATTCTCCTAATGGTGATATTCTAAAGCCAGAAGTGAAACTCAGGGGTGTCTTTACATGTTTCTGGTGGCCATTCTGAAATCACCTGTCACTGGGGCACTCTGCACTCCTTTTGATGGCTGAGGAGTCCCCTCCATGACTAGAAAGTAACTGGAATCTGTCAGTACCTCACTCCTTAAGGGGAGCATCCTGAGGACACTGTGATATGAAGGCAGTGTCCCTGGAGAGCTGGGGCAAGTCACCGCCCTCACAAGTCTCAGTATGCCCATCTGTGGGACAGTGCTGACCATTCCTCCCGCTTGGTGCCCAGGAGCTGAGCTGGGCAGGTGGAAGCCAGAAGGGCCACCGGGATGGCCACCCTCATCCTTGGGTCCATGCCCATGACTTGTGGCCTCCCGGAGTCATCACACCACGTCCTGGGCTCTGGGGCAGTGGGGATGGGGTCGGGGTGTGGGCCACCCTCCTGGGGCCCTGCTACTAACGGCTGTCCCCTGTCTTTCCCTCTGTAGGAAGGCCAAAAATTCTGGAGAAGCCATGTCCCTGGGCAGCCAGAGCCCACAGAGTGACTCCCTGACACAGTTTGTGCAGCAGCCGGATGTGATGTATTTTATTCTCTTTCTCTGGCTCCTGGTCTACTGCCTCCTGCTCTTCCCGCAGCTGGATGTCAACAGGCTCTGATGTGTGTGTCTGGAGAATAAAAAAGACAGGCCCCTGACCAGGGTGGGGTCTTTTTACTTAATTTTGTTTTGTGTTGGGGGTGGGGCCGCTTCTGCAGGTGGTGGAAGACCTGGGGGAGCCCAGGCCCCGCCCCCTGCTGTCCTGCTTTGCTCCTGTCCTTTCCCCTCCTTGGGGCCTGAGAGCACCTTTCCCCTTTGGCTGTGTGCTCAGAACTCAGGTGGCAGCCGCCTCCCTGGTGAGTCTTGTCCTTGTGCCTTGCTTGATCAGATGGTAAGCATCGTCACCAATATTCAGCCAACACCTGGATCTCGGCTCTGATGCATGCAGGTTTCCCAGGTCCTGGATGAACTCTAGTTACTCACCTCTCGGATGACGGTCTGCCTGATGAGGAGGAGCGTTGGTCCCCTGGGGACCTTACCTGGAAGAAGTTTCCTCCAAGTGCAGGTGTCTGGGTGAAGATGCAGGTCTGTGCACCTGCTGCAGTCTGGTGACTGGTTGCATTCGTTGGGGGAACCAAGCAGCACCGAGCTGCTGGCTCCCAGAAAGGGCACCAGGGAATGGCAGAATCAAGGAAGAAGACCAAGGCTCTGTTGTGAGCCACAGCACTTGCATTTCTCACCCTGGTTTTCTTGAAGGGGTTGGAGGAGTGAGATGCATTTTTTTTTTTTCCTGGTACTCGGGATTGAATCTGAGGGCACTCTGCTGCTGAGCCACACCCCCAGCCCTTTTTATTTTTTTGAGACAGGGTCTTGTGAAGTTGCTGAGGCTGGCCTCCAACTTGTGTTCCTCCTGCCTCAGCCTCCTGAGTTGCTGGGATTTCAGTTGAATGTCACCATATCCAGTTGAGATGTATTTTTAATTTGCTTTTGCATTGATTGGTTGGAGTTAGAACTGTGACTTTTCAAATGAAAATCATATTTTCTGTCAAGTGAAACCTAAGAGGAGCCAATCTAGACAACGTGTTCTAAACAGAGCTCTAGCTGGCTCCCAGCAGGCGGAGACCCCACTCCCACTTTGCTGATCTTCTGTGAGACCTCGGGGCCCAGCAGGGCATTGTGAAAGGTCCTGAGGAGCTTGGAGGTGGCCAGGCTAAGAACAAGTGCCCACTGTGCTGCTGGAATGCTTTGGGACATGCTGACCTCAGAATACCTGTTGTGGCCTTGGCACCCCTTGCCAGTCATCAAAACGGGTTTCTTGAAAAGTCTTTCTGGAAAGCTCCAGAGCCATGATGGAGTAGAGCAAAGCAGGTGGGTTGTAAGAAAGACAAAGACACTTCTCCCACCCTCCCATCAGATCAGCCTGGGTCCGGCTAAGACTCAGGTCAGTGAAGGCTGTTTAAGTTTCCTCTTGCCTCTGCCCTCCCCCTCGAGAGCATGCAAAGTTATGAACTCTTCCTTCCAAAGTTATGAACTCTACTCAGCAAAGACTCAGGGAGCAGTTTGTCCAGCTGAACCCAGAGAGGCACAGCAGGTTGGCCAAGGTCACACAGCCCACCTGGAATAGACTTGTCATGAGCACCCTGATGCCCAGTCCAGAGCTGTCCCTTTTTGCAGGAAACTTCTACTGTGCACATGAATGTCTTGATAAAATGACTAGGGAAAAAATGTTCTCATTCAAGCAAAACCAAATATTTGGGCACCTATCAAACTTTGTTTTGTTATCTTTTAAAAAAATTTCAATTTGTTTTTGCTGTCTTTTCCATGAGGAAGCTTTGTTCACCTTCAAGCTCAACCCCTATACCTTCTGGAACATTCTTCACACCTGTCAAGGCGTGTCATTTGACATACCAGCCTTGCTTTTACTCGGGGAATCCCATTCCTTCCTAGCAATCCAAGGACTCTCTTCTTTCAAGCAGCAGGTCTCAGATACAGAGTTCCAGCAAAACTGAAAGAATTTACACAGCATGGTGGAGCCCCTAAGGCCAAAACCTGGCCTCTGTGCCATTCTGCCTCCCTTCCCCCAAAGAATCTCAGCCTTCCAGGCAAAAGCTCTCGGAGCTTGGAGTGTCTCCATCTTGAAGGCCAGGAGCCCGTAGAAAATGAGCTAATTAATGAGCTTCCTGGCAACGTCAGAAGTTCAGAGGTACGCATAATAAAGATTATGTGTGTGATATTTTATAACCCTGGGCACCTGGACGTCTCTGCCCAAATTAAATGCCAAAGAAGAGCTGACCCAAATGTGAATCATTTTGTTTCACAGCTCTAGGCCTTGTTCAGAAGCTCTCTGCAGGCTCCCTCCCTCACCTCCTCTTTGAATGTTCTTTAAAACATCTAGTGGCAAGATGCCCAAAACTCATTTGGCTCAGGTTGGCAGTAAACTGATTTTTTAAAGGATAAAAAATTCATTTGAGTATAGGCTTATATGGAAGAAGGTGGTTATAACAGGCTGCTGGACAAGCCATCCCATTCCTTGGAGTTTTTTTTTTAATTAAAAAAAAAGGACTATCAGGTTTTTAATGAGAACTAGCAATTTCCTACGTTCTAGGCAACTTGCTCCTAGAAGTAAGCATTTTGAACACTTTGAGCTGTTCTTCTAATATTTACCTTTGCACTTCTACATAACATGCTTACACTTTATTCTTTTAATTTATTTAGAAACATCTATTGACCTGCTAATACTGCAGATGGAGGTGACACTTGTGCCCGGACCCTATAGTTAGATCATGTTCTTTGGTGCATCCAGCATTGACACTGCCATGGGCTTGTCAGGGATGTTCACTCCTGAGCCACATGTTCACTTCGGGCACATGGCCTTCCTAGTCACACTTCCCCCTTGATTCATATCCTCTCTCTGCCCTGCCCCACCCTCCCTCCCTATCTCTCTTTGGAGTGACATTCTTCAGTAACCCGAGAAAGGGAACATGGAAAGTATATTGTTGCAAATATTTTGAGATTTTTTTTTTTGCATGACTTAAAATGCAAAATGCATTTGTGCAAATGTGGCTGAGCAGAGAACTGCAGTTACAAAATACACCCCTCCCCGCCACCTGTGGTTGTTGACCTCTGTGATGCCTTTGGACTCCCATGTGACTTGGTTTTCTCCTCTCCCTGGAAACACTGAAGAATGCTTTGTTCTTGGTGTCCTGAACTGTCATGATGGTGTCACATCTTTGCTATTATACTTTGTGCTGAGCCCTAAGAGAAAGGTCTTAAGTTTTCTCGAAATTATTTACATTCTTTCATTCTGATCTGTCATTCCAATATAGGACCTCTCCAACTAATCTTCTAATGTTTTTATCTTTTTAATTTCTCATCTCTATTTTTTGATTTGCTTTCAGGAAAATATATTCAATTTTATGTTGATTTCCAAAACTGTTCATTGTTCTGGGTTTTGTTTTGTAGTGTTTTGTTCTTGATTCAGGAATGCAGATCCTATTGCCCTATGGATGTTATTGTTGGTGTTGTTTTGTTTTGTACTGGGGATTGAATCCAGGGACACTTTACCCCACTGAGTTACATCCCCAACCTTTTTTTTTTTTTTTTTTTGAGACAGGGTCTCCTAAGTTGCTGAGGCTGGCCTTGAACTTGTGATCCTCCTGCCTCAGCTTCCTGAGTTGCTGAGATGACAGGTGTGTGCCACCACGCTCGGCCAATAATAGTGTTTGGGAGGAAGTTCTTTTCTGCTTCCTATATTGCTTTAGCTTCCTCTAAGTTTCCTTCCTCTTGTTTTGGTCTCTGTCTTTATCTTTCATGTTCCAAGTTTTTCTCTAGTATCTGGTGATTCTGTGGATCTATCTGTTCATGTTTAAAAGCGGATGCTCAGGAAGCTGTGTGTCAACTAGTAGGTTTTCTCTAGTCCACGAGGACTGGACTGGACTTTGGAGAATCCTGTGTCAGTATTTGCACATTCTTTCTCTGCGGCCCGATCCATTTCTTTAGAGAGCTTTTCACTCTTCCTCTGCCTGGGAAGAGGGACTCACACGGGGCTGCTATTAGTCTATGAAATGCCCTTGTGCAGTTTTAAAAACAAGTGTCCCTCTGGGCAGAAGCCACTACGGCACTTAGCCTGACTGGCAGAGCATACCCTTCATCCCTTTCTCTGAGAGGGTGCAGCCGTGAGGTAGGGCAAAGCTTGAGGGAGAGCCCAAGCTGGACTTCAACTCCCGCTTGCCCCCCGGCCTGGGTGTTTGTTCTGTGCCACAACTGTAAGGCCATCTGCACCCAAGACCCGTTGCGGTGCTGGAGTTCTGGCCCAGCAGGCGGTCTCAAGGCCAATCAGTGGCTAGTCCACTAAGTTGCTCCCGCCTTTGCTGTGTGTGGTGTCCCTGGGTTGGAGCTTCTCTTATTTCTCCATGGTGTAGGAGCAGAGGGGACATCTGGCTGCATGGGAGGGACAGGAGGCCTGGGAGTCCACAAATGTGCCTCTCTCCAGCCCTGTGTCTCGCCCCCACCTTTCCTGGATGCCGATGCAGTGGCTCAGTGGCCTCCCCCTATAGGCACCTGGTACCCCTCCGCCCTCCTCACTTCCCATCAGCTCTGCCCCTGCTGTGGATGGATTGGCGTCCAGGGCCTGCGGCTGTCTTCTCCCACCCTGGATCTTCATGGCTGTGCAGCTGTCTTTCCTTGGCTCTTATTTCTGTAGAGTTTCATGACAGAAGAAGTGAGCCCTGTGCTCCGTACACTGTCTTGATCTGCAAACCCCTTTGAATTTCCAATGGTTGACTCTGTGGCTCGCTGCTCTGCCAACTGCTCTGTACCTCTCTGCATCTCCCTGAGGCCATAACAACATCCGGGTTGCTGATCTGTACGATGCCCAGTACAGGAGAGGGTGAGCTGACCCTCCAGCTCTGCTCGAGGCTGCCATTCAGGTGGCTCTTTCTTCCCCTTCCTTCCCCCGGTTCTGTCACTCAGCCCCAGTAAACCACGCTAGATCTCCGCATGCTCACAAGGCCAGGCTGTGTGGTGGTGTTTCCAGGTTTTCTGGAAGTAGACCACGCTGGTGTTTGCCATCGAACAAACAGGGTCCTCTGCGGGCTGGAGTGTGGAACATGAGCCGGATTTCCTCATAGGAGTGTGTGCCAGAGCTGGTGATCACAGAGCTGTTGGGGGCAGCCTGGCCACACCTGACCTTTCTGGTCAGATGAGCTTCCCCCAGAGGTCAGCCCCAGTAAGTACACCCTCATGGCTCCATGAGCTGCCACCCAGGACATGGCTTCCCTGCTCCTGGGGTTCAGCTGGAAAAACTGCTGCCAAGAGTCCCTCCTGAGGCGGCTCACCTGCCCTTCACAAGGGTGACATAAGTGGGACAGCCACAGGGGTCATGTGAGGGCTCAGCACCTCCTATAAGAAATGAGGAGGCTGTGATGGGAGGCTTGCAGGAGCCCGAGTTCAAGACCAGTCTGGGCAACACAGTGAGACCCCATTACAAGAATAAATAAAACTAAAGATGACTCATCACCCTGCTAACTAGTGACTCTGGGATGACCATTTGCATTTCCAATTAAGTTTTCTACAAACTTTTAGCCTCCAACAGAAGCCAGAGTAAATGAGTAGAGACGGTGTCCTCCTGGGTGTCAGAAGCAGTCACGGATTCTTTGGAGAGGAAACTTCTTTCTGTGATTCTATCCTCAGAGTGACCTGAAGTCTTTCACACCAGCTTAGTTTTCCCAGCGCTCCAGCAGGGCTCCAGAGCCTGCTGGAGCATTGAGACCTGACCCTCTCTCCTTCCTGCTGGAGGGACTGCCCTGGGTCTGCACCGAATGGCCCACCTGGACTCTTCCATGGAGCTCCGCACCCTGAAGTCCCAGAAAAGGGCTTTGCCGGAGCTTCAAAAGCTTCCCGGCAGTGGTTTTTCCAGGAACAAGGGTGTGCGGGTCTCTGCAGGGCCCAGCGTGTTCTCTTCCCCAGCCCCACACGGTCCCTGCTGACACCCCATTTAGAGAAGGTGGAGCATCCCGGCTACGGCTGCAGTTTGCATCTGCCACCAGCCCAACCAGCAGTGGGGGGGCTGCTCTCAGGACAAGGCCCAGGACCTAGGATGGGCAGTAGAAGTTGGGAGTTGGTGCTGGTGGAATCTTGTTTATTTGCTAAAAATTGCCACAGGGTGTTTCCCTTACCCAGTCGGCCACAGTGGGGGAGTAGAAAGGAGACACAGCCTCGCTGGTGCTCTGGGGAGCTTGAGGGGCCTTTGTGCCCCTGCCTCTCACCAGGCTTCCCCCAGCTGGTGGAAGTGAGCCCGCGGCTGAGGACCCTGGGCTTCGCAGGAGTTGCATGGGGCCCCTCCACTTCCCTGGCACGCGGGCCCCAGTGAGCACCAGCCCTCCTCGCCCTGGTTTGTAAGAGCCCCTCAGCGGCCTTGGCCTTCGGTGGCCTTGGCCTTGCCATTCTCCCTGGCTGTGTAAAGGACAGGGCTTGTGGTGAGCTGGCGTGACCTCAGAGGCTGAGCTCCTGGTTCTCAGAGTTGGCAGAAGTTACCAGAGCCGTTGAGCTGCCTTTCCAGGGTTGGTAGCCTCTGCAGTGCCGAGAAGGCTGACTTGGTTGTGTCCGGAGCCTGTTCTGAGGTTCTTGCTCAAAACACCAGGCAAGCGGTTCTGCCCAGCCCCGGCCATAGCAGCCGTGCACCAGGAAACATTCTCATCAGGGAAAAAGACAACCAGTATTTTGTGCTCGCTGGCCAAGCTGTTTTTAAATACAGGCCTCAACACCCGCAGCCTGATCCTGCTGCTAACCTGTTTAAATCCTTGACATGCTGATGGCCCATCTAGCTTCAGCTAACCAGGCCGTCCTTAAATGAACCCTCTCTTGTTGTTGTTTTTTTCTACCCGTCCTTTCTTCCTTCCCTGGGAGGCACATACAATAGGGAAAGTGGGCATATTGGGAAGTCAACCAGATCTAGATCTGTGTCCTCACTGTCACCTGATGCCTGGGTGACCTTGGGCAGATTGACTGCTGAGCTGGTTTGTAGTGTAGGCACTCAGCACACATTTCTCAAAGAACAAATACCTTCCTTGCGAGCTGTAAAGTTGTAGCCTGCCCAGTAGCTGCCAGTTCTCCATTTCCCTCCTCTCCAAGCACTGGCTACATCTCCTTGCCAACATTCCATTACCCAAGGCTTCTGTCCACCTCTCTCCAATTCACCGCCCTGTTGCTGGCTGTCCTGCTTCTAATCCAGCTGAGGAAGTTGAAGCCATTGTGTATCCATTGATGGGACCCTCCCAACAATCATGGGAGGAAACTAAAGCACAGGCCGGAAGAATAACAAGGTCACATCCTGGAGCTAGTAGTTGGCAGAACCAGGAATGTAGGGCTTATTTTCAGACATTAATGTTCACAATTAACATCACTGCTTAGGAAAGAAAGTGATCCCCCTAATGAAATTCTGATCCTTCATGACACTGGCCTAGTTGGACCAGTGTTGGATGGACATGCTCTGTACTGGGAAGGTGGACACGTGTAGTAATCACACTGCTGTTTCCTTCCTCGAAGTCTTCTCCCCAGTCCCCAGGTTTTCACACTGGGACTCCCAAACCCAACTGCTTAAATCTCTCCTTCAGAAATTCATGGTTTAGCCTACAGTTGCAAATTTGCAACCAAAATTTCTGCCTCTAAACAGCCTTTACCAGTGAAATCTCAGTGTCTAATATCAAACACAGTTCATCAGTGACTTGAGTTTAATGGTACCTCCTGTCCCTAATGGTTCCTCTCTCCTGCACATGGTTTTCAGAGTCGAAACGAGGCTTTCTCCTTTGAAAATCCAAGCAGAAAAGGCACAGGTGGAGCATGATTAAAATGGTGGCTGAAGACCATGAGTGACTTAAATGAAGTCATAATTGGTTGGGGTCTCAGATAGGGATCATGATTTTTTTAAGTTTAAAAGTCATGATTTTTGCATGGTTATAAAAAAAAAAAGAAAAGATGTCATTTGATAGGTTTATGCTATTTGTCACTGCTTCTTCTAGTTGCATCAAAAGTCAATAGCACATTATCTATAAGACCATGCTGTGAGGAAGGATAGCCACAGGACACTGGTATTCCTAAATGTCATGCAACAGTCGAGATACTTTTGAAAGGAATCTGAGGTAGTCTGCAGTCTAGAGAGCTGACATTGCCCAAAGTGAGACATCATTGGCCATGGCCTCAGCGACCCACATCCTAGTCAGGGCTCACCTGCAGACACCCTGGATAGTTCCCTGACCTCTCTAGGTTGGAAATTGGAAGACCTCTTATAAAAAGTTCTTTCTAGGTTTAAAAATCCAAAGGTTGGCAAGATAGTTCTTTGTGTTTATTTCTGTGTTGATCTCACCATTGGCCTATGTGCTGGAAATGTGCACTTCTGTATATAAGTGAACGCCAAAGCTCAGAGCATTGCTTCCTGTTCATATCTGACAAAGAGTGCCTTAGGGAAGAGTTTGCAATAGCAGAAGGTCATCTGGTAGAAGGTTTGGGATGAAAGTTTGGTGTAGAACCTGGGGACCTACTTCCTTGGGTTTCCAGAACTAATTTGGTCTCCTTAAGTTAAAACAGCAGCTGACATGGTTTCCCAGGGGATTTCTTTTAAATTAAAAAATTCAGCTGCAGAAATAAATAGCTGTACCCAACCAGACCTTTCCACTTTTGGCCTCTGTCCTCTTTTTCTAGTAGTGACTCAAAAAGGCTCAATTTCTGCTCAGAGTCAGTGCTGTTTGCATTTGAGTTCCCTCAAGCCTGGGCTGGCCTGTGGAGGGAGCAGCTGTCTGTGTCAAGACCCTTGCTCTTTGCCCTTGAGATTGGACCAAGATGATGCCTGTATCACTTGCTCTGGCGCTGACACTGTAGGGAACATGGCCAGCCCTACTGAACACTGTTGGACCAGGTTAAACCTGGAGATGGGTTTCTTCAGAGCTATTATCCTGGAGGTTAGCAGGTATTTCGTTTTGGGGGATCTGTGATATATTTAGCAGATTTAATGTTTCTTTAATGTCATGGCAGGACTTCATTGACTGTGTCTGAAAACTTTTACTGAGAGCTTCAGGAGAAATATGGAGGAAAAAAAAGTGAAATGTTATTTTGTAGTACAAGGATTATTTTGTCTATTTAGAATATATATATGGCTGTAGCTTTGTAAAAAAAGGGATCTTTGATTAAAAATTGTATGAATGTGCACTCTTATTTATTGATTATTGTAAATTAAGATATAAATGGCTATTTGCATAATTTATCCCTGTGGGAAATTAACTGGAGTATTTGTTATTTGACAGTTTTCTATCAAGGAATATAGGCTTGGTGCTACGATGAATGATCTTGTGAAATTTCATGTATTCTTATGAAAATTTTTGGATATAAATTTCCTGAAATGACTGTGTCATTGATAACATTTATTTCCGTGTGTGTGTGTGTGTGTGTGTGTGTGTGTTTACAACCAGAAATGACAGTGCCTTTCCTTTGAAATAGTACTTTATGGGCTGGGGTTGTGGCTCAGTGGTAGAGCACTTGCCTCACACATGCGAAGTACTGGGTTCGATCCTCAGTGCCACATAAAAATAAATAAAGATATTGTGTCCATCTACAACTAAAAAATACTCTAAAAACAAGCAAGCAAGCAAGCAAGAAAGAATACTTTACCCAGGCGAGGTGAACCAGTGGCCTTGGAGTCGTAGGGAATGTGTTCTTGAACTAACTGGCTTTGAGCCTTTGCATGTGAAGCTCCAAGAAGAAACAATAGTGGCATCTCGTCCATCAGTGTCTACGGGGATTGTCCCAGGGATCCCCTCACTTAGCAAAATCCTTGGACACTCAAGTTCCTTCTAACTGGCCTGGTATTTGCATACAAACTATGCCCTTCCCCACCCCCTTATACTTAAATCTTCTCCAGATTACTTATAGCAGCTAATCCAATGTAAAGACTTAGTGAGGAATTGCTATACTGTATTCTTTAGATTATGTTGAGGAAAGTTTGTGTTCAAAAAAGATGTAATTTTAAGATGTATATTTATATCACTATAAATAAATATATTATTGTAAATATATGTGTGTACAGGCACACACATATATTTTTTTCTTTTAACCCCAGTGGGTTGAATCTTCTGATTCAGGACCCTCAGGGGCCGAGGGCCGGCTGCGGTAGCAATGGTGGCTGCTTGGCTCTGGAGATTGACGGCCTGGGTTTGAATCCTGGCTCTGTCGTTCATGAGCCACGTGACCTACAGTAAATTATTATCATTGCCTGGATTTTCCAGAAAATAAAACCTGGGTCAAAGCTCATGTGGTGAGACATCTTTGGGGGCTGCTTTAGTGAAAGCACAGTGAGCAAGGTCAGGGACGTGGAAGAGGAGTTTAGGGACACAGAGCAGGCAAGTCAGTTGGCGCCTTGTGGGATGTGGCAAGGACTCTGACCTTTACCCTGGGATCCACTGGAGGGTTTTGAGGATGTGTCAACTCACATTTAACAGGCCAACCCTGGCTGTCATGAGAACAAGGGCAGAGCCCAGGGCCCCCCAGGACTCTGTGGCAACGATGCAGGAAAGAGCTGGCCATGGGGCAGCCCCGGGTGGGGCAGCCAGGTCCCTGAGCGAGCTCTGGATGGATTCTGAACGGCGGTCCTTCGGGTTTGCTGATGGATGGGGTCTGGGGACGGGAGTCTCCGGGTTTGGGCCCGAGCAGCTGGAAGGGTGGCAGCACAGCTCACTGAGATGGGAAACATGAGGAGCAGACGAGGGCGGAGGTTGGGAGTCGGCGGTGCTGAGCTGGGGACGTCAGTTAGGCCTCCTTCCCCACACCTGCCTGGGGAGGTGACTCGCCTGTCCACACTGTGCGGGGCCAGCCCCTGACCCTGAGTGGTCTGCTGCTGTGCCTAAGATTGGGGCGTGGGAATGGCAGTCAGGTTTGGGAATCCCAGGTCCCCAGTGTACCCAAGGCTGCCATCCTGTGTCCCCTCATTGGCCTCTCTGTCCCCGTCCCTCCCCTGCTCCTCCTGCCTTCACTCACCTGCCACCTCTACATTTTCAGTGTTTCTAATAGACATTGGGGCCGTCACAAACCTCTCTTAACCTTGTGAACATCAGATCATCTGGCCACATTAAAGAGAGAGGGACAGACGGGGCGGATACAGCAGAGGAAGACAAATCCAGCAATTTGGTGGTCAGATCTGTGACCAGCTGTGCATGATTCTGTTTCAGCTTGGTGGCGTGGGTTTCATTCAGGACAGGCTGGCTATGCCATAGAACATGGCAGTTGTGAAGATAGAGTGATATTTTCTATTAATTACTGTAACATTTAGGACTGGTTCCAGCTGCATGTGACAGACCCCCCCCCCCCAAAAAAAAAAAAATCAATGGCTTAAATGCTCTAGAAGCTTATTTCCTCTCAAGAGAGGCACTGGACCAGGTACGGCAGCTGCCTGCCCTCCTCGCTGCTTCCAGAGCTGCTCCAGTGTGTCACCCCTAGACTTGTCCCCATGGTCCAAAATGGTGACTACACACCCAAACAACAGAACCAGTTTCCTTGCTGCAGAGTGTAGGAACAGCAGTCACGAGCTGCCCCTGTCCTGGAAGGCGCCCAGAGGAACTGCACAGCACATCAGCCTGCATGTCATTGTCGGAGCTCAGCCACTGGCCACGGCTGCTCAGGGGGAAGGACCTTGCCCTTTGCTGGACACAAGGCCAAGTGCATTACAAATGAGGAGGTGGGTGGATGGGCACAGGCTGCTAGTAGGCTGGGAGACGCTTGCTTGGGTCCTGGTTATCAGGGTTGGCCAGCTGTGGGCAGCTTGTGGGAGGCCTGCTGGACTCACGGGGCTGCGCTGTGGGTAGAGATAGGACTGAGGGGGAAAGTCCATTCTCAGCTGAAGTCCCCCAGGAGCTGGCGAGGAAGGCGATGCACAGGGAACATGACTACGACTTGCCAAGCACTGTCCCCGCTGCTAGCCCACGGACACAGTCAAGACTCCCTTGAGTGCTACAGGGTGGTGCGTCCTGCCCATGAGAAGGGCGAGCCTGGAAAAAAATGCATGAATGAAGATACCAATGCAGAGCTGGAACAGAAGCTTGGCGCTGCCGGAACTGTCCCTGAAAGCAACCCCTGGCTCGTATTCTCTCGGGGCTCACAGACATCCCAGGGGAAGAGCGCCTGCCAGGGGGCTGGTCTGGTGCCCTCACCCTGCGCTGGGCAGAAAACTGGCCAGGAGAGCCTCCTTCTTCCTCCTGACCCAGCAGTCAAGCGTCAGGGACCTCAGACAAGCTGCAACTTGCCCAAACCTCCATTTCCCTGGACTCTGAGATGGAGATCACAGCAGTAGCCCTGCCGTGGGGACTGAAATGAGCTCCTGTCTATAGAACACCCAGGGGGTAACCCAAGCCAGTGTCTGGGCCATTAGAATGGAGCCCCTTCCTTTCCCTCTAAAGCTTGGCCCCCTCCCTCGCTCGGGAGTCATTATTCCCAGGTTTTTTTTCTGACTCTTCCATAACCCTGGGAATGTTCCTGATAGCCTAGAATTTTCTAGACTGGCAGCTTTCCCACAGTGCAGTCTTCTCTGGCCCAACTACCCCACCAGTGGGGCCCCAAGCCCTGGCAGTTGGAGAGCTTCCTAAAATCTGGGGAGGGCTTCCTAAAATCAAAGATCATGGAGAGAAATTAAAGTAAGACTTCCCAAACTGTGTGGGATGAAGGGCTTTAAGAAGAAGAGGTTCCAATTTGTGGCGGACCAATACTTCTGTAAAATTCAGTGAAAATGATCTGAAAAGAATTGAAATTTTAAAAATGACAATACAAATCCCCAATTTTTCTTACTGAGTCAATGTACATAAAATGATGCCCTTAGCCTCTCAGAAAGTGTCTACATGCTTACTGTCAATTAGTGACCTTATCTTGTGAAGACCCCAAAACCCACAGAGATTGAGAAACCACATTTTAAGAGGTATTGCCTTGAACAGTCTGTACTTTCTACTTTCTAAAGGAAGTCGTGCTCTTCTTCTTTTTTTCAAGACAAGCAAAGCTCTGTTGTGTGACATTAGATATTATAGAGAAGCCACTACTTCCCTAAATTCCATGTCTCAGCTCATGGGTTTATTTTCTAATTTTTCAGTTTGCAATCAAAAGTTGCAAGGTACTTGCTGATGTGTTTTCTATTTTTTTTTAAGAGAGAGAGAGATAGAGAGAGAATTTTTTAATATTTATTTTTCAGTTTTCGGTGGACACAACATTTTTATTTTATTTTTATGTGGTGCTGAGGATCGAACCCAGCGCCCCACGTATGCCAGGCGAGTGCACTACCGCTTGAGCCACATCCCCAGCCCCGTGTTTTCTAATTTTGTTATTGTTTTTTAATTTATTTATAATTTTTAAAGGTTTATTTTTAGTTGTAGGTGGACATAGTACCTTTATTTTATTTTCATGTGGTGCTAAGGATCAAGCCCAGTGCCTCATGCATGCTAGGCAAGCACTCTACCTCTGAGCCACAACCCCAGCCCCTAATTTTGTTTTGATGATACCCCTGTAGGGTCTATGGAGTCAAGGGCAATGACTTTTTATAACTGGACTGATGAAGATCGTGGATAGTGGTGATGATGATGGGGCGGGGTAGGAGGCACGAGGAGGCACTTTCTCCTTGCTGCACATGCTGGCTGGCTGACGGCCCGCTCCGCCTTGCTGGGTTTACCGAGTGCCCTCGGGAACCACAGGTGCACTGTCCCACACAGCTGTGGCCAGTTTACTGTAAGCCTCCTTGCTGAGCACAGCCATGGCAATCAGGCCTAACTACCACGAGAAGAGTCACTTCTGCCAAGGACCCAAGGCTTCTGGGGATCCATTTTGTCCACTGTCACACTGGACGCAGGCAATAGCCCAGCTTCAGTAAGCTGTCATCTTCCAGCATTGCCAAGGCACCAGGCAGGCTGAACCAAAACAGACCCCCCAACCCCCTGACACTGTGACCCAAGAGCCCTGGACACAAATCAAGAGGCGGCAGGGACCTCTGCATTGCCTGTTCTAGCACGTGGGATCGGGGCTGTCACACACCAAAGACCAGTGAGACAAGTGCTTGGCATCTGATATCATCAGTAGATACCCCAGTACATGAATGCTATGGGGAAATGTTTAGCTTTTCTTAATCTAGGAAGAAATAACCATTTTCACTTTTATTGTCTGATGAATGGGACCAACCTCTATGCTGCCTCCTCTTCCCCAGCACTTTCTATCATTTGTATTTTAAGGTCAAAATTAAAAGCTAGTTCATCTCTGGGACCGTGGGCCTGATACATTTGGCCCTGTGTAGCTGTACATTGTAGAATCGGACTATAGCTCTTCACTAGAGAGAGTCACTTGTCCACCCAGTAACTGACAGGGGAGGTCCGGAGGGGCCGTGG